GCGGGGCAGCTTTTTTTTGTCTTAGTAGCATTTCCTCGCTTTAATGGATCGTGCATGAAATTGAATATTTCCAGCTCACCGCCGATTACGGGGATGCACGATGTAATTAGATACACCACGAGTTGGGAGAATCATTTCTTTTTAAATATTCATAGTAACAATGTAAACGACAAAACCTTACGCTAGGTGTGTGTGGTCGCCACTGTCAACTTCATGAGTATCACTGATACTGTTGCCACTGTCGTTTCACCATTGTCAGCGTCGTCACCCTCGTCGTTATTGTTGACACTGCCGTCACCATCATGACACCATCAAAACGTCGCTAGTCAACCCTGCTCATCACCATCTTAAGTGTCGCTATCGTTCACACCCCACCAACGCGAATGCGATTCACGCATAGTTGTCACGATGTTCGTCCTTGTTATCATTTAAGAGGTAATCACCTTTGCAGTATCGAGAATGAACACGGCCGTTTGTTTATCATTGTGGTGGCTGCCTCTACCTCAGAACACAAATTATTTCATTTCAAAATAAATAAATTCAGCATAATAATAACCTCCAAAAGCAGTTGTGAGATATTTCGCCAGTAGTAATGCCACTGTTGAAAAGTACAGGCGTAAGAAAATGTGATCGACGTGACTTATTGACCCTTTGCGTCTTCATCCAAGGAGGTCGTTAATGTACCATGCCAAAAAATACGGTGTCCCGAGAGGTCTCAACCCCCGTGGTGAAAGACCTCTCCAGCATGTGTCGGCTGGTGGCGCGGGACGCGACGGTGCGGAGCCCCGAGGCCACTTTGAGTCCGTCGCACGCTGTGTTAAAAAGCGTCTTGATCTGGAGCGCGGGTGTAATGTCAATGCAATCCCATACGTTATACACAGCAGACTTATCGAATTATGTCATAGATACGCGAGAGATGATTTACAACCCCATATGTCTGGGTGGGTGTTGCGAAGAGACCAGACAAGATTAAAGCTTGTATTTATTGCAGACTGGGGCAGGACACTACACAGAACCGAGACGAAATTCTGAAATCACAGGCTGATTTGACCAAAGTGATTTGTGCACTCGTCAATTTTAGCAACCATTAACACGCCATGCATATCCCGTCATCATTCAATTACAAGGTAACTTTGAAAATCGTGTAGAGATTTCTCATGTGGTATCATGGTGTGTTCATCCTTATCCCTACATTGTCCGCTTGGCTTTGCTTAAAGTACGTCCCTCGGAACGACCTTATCTCTGCAAAAGTGTGTAAGCTCCCGTATGGTTTTAAGTATTTTACCAGTGGAAATGAAGAGCCCCGTTCAGAATGCATTGCAAGTCTTTACACGGACGAGGATGATGCCTACTGGTCTGCTCGCTTGACGGCCAGTACATTTTTCGTTGCGCACTTCAAGCACATTAGGGCCTATGAACGCATCGACAAGAGCACATAGTCGTGCGCGAGGGTTGCTTGTTCAGACATGTCGGCTAAACGCGCATTAAATCTTTTTTTAATGAGCTTATACAATACTTTTCGTATTACACCAAGACTGTCTTAATGTTTTAAGGGATAGCTTTGAAGACGACCGTTAAGCCCGGTTTTATTTTATTTATAATGGTTTGTCTTGGTATGCTGTTTGTAAGAACGTAATCTGTGGTATGCTGTTTGTAAGAACGTAGTGTGTTCTTTAACTGGGCTTCAAGTCATCAGAGGACGGAGTCTGAACCCTCCTTGTTCATTCAACCTGCCTTGGTACTTTTCTTCTATGTCTTCTGTTAAAATAAGAATAAACAACAACACACAAGTTACCTCAGAAAACAGCCTCACCAAAAGTGCCTCAACTCTTTCTGTCATATAGCACTGATGTTCATCACCGATTTCCTTATAAGTCCATGACATATTTTTCTCTTCGACCTGCAATCTCCACAGGGAGACGTGCGGGGAAGGATGTAATAAAGGCGTCTCTTCGTTAAACGCAGTGTCTTAAGACATTTAAAAAATTGAAAGTTTTGGATTTACTTAATTTTGAGAATTTTACAAAGGTTCTCCTGATTTAGCAGTCTTAAATGGATCCAACAATTCTATCTTGTTTGAATATGTAAAGAATGTTTTCGAATTACCAGCAGTATGTTGTGTACGCCTTAGAGAAAATAACGTGTTGGCATTTAAAACGTATGGGCCAGGAGGGTTCCCGCCGTGCCACAATGCCCCACCACTGAGAAGACCACGGTCGTTGCGTTCGCTTGGGCCGTGGGCTTTAGGATCAGCTTCATCGGAGGAAGTGGAACGGGGCTCACTCGTCCCTTGAGTGTCTGCTGTGAAACACGCCTCGTCGTTTTAAAGCGAAAGTGTCGACGTTTGCGTCACACTATCACCCTGTCGAGTATCTTGGTGCAAATTTTACACCTGAGCAAAACGCTTTGAAAGCATCTTAGCTGTGAAAGAACTAGTGAAGATAAGCCGTTTCTGGTAAAGATAAGCTTCTGTAAAAATGTTTGGCTGTCTAATTTTTTCCCACGTACATCATCTGAACAACGATCACATTTCAGACACGCAGCGCATTCCTACCATTAAGTGGGACATTAAGACATTTGTTTTATTCAAACGTATTGTTTATACATTCGTCGCATTTTATTCAAATCATTGGTGGCAGTGATCGAAACAGCTTTGATTTTGCATTGTTGACTTATGTACCTGGTATATACTCCAAATAACAAGGTTGTGTGACACCATGCATATCCCAAATATTTACAAAGCCTTTCAGTTTGTATGCCACTATTGTTATGAAAAGATTTGTCCTTTCTCACATAATAAAATTGCTGAAGTTGACGGTCATGTTTTGCTAAGCTGTTGATTGGCTTTATTCCCTGGGGATGTGCCTCGTGGGAGAGTCTAGAGCTCCGTCTTTAAAATTTATGAGTTCTTTAAAGAATTTTTTCGATCCGTCGAGATCTGAGTCTTGCTATCTCTCTCTTTTCCTGTCATTAATCCTGACTTCCTAATTTCGAAATTAAAACGGTGAAAATAAATAAATAAAAATGACCACTAGGTTAAGCGCTCAAACTGCAAGTTCAAGTATACATCAAGCCCAGTGCGCCTTTCTCTGATTTCTAGTGACTCATCGTTCCACAGGATTTGCAGCATGCAGCTCTCTGAGGCTCGTGGACTCAAACTGCCCGGGTATGTCCTCTTAAAGGACATTGACTCGCCTATCATGCTTGTTAGTTATGACGCATTTGCCCTCCGGTCGAGTTTGAAGCATAGGTATCAAGATAGCAGAACTCCACACACAGCACACATATGCGGATATGTAAAATTAATGAGGACTCGGAGTAAGCAATAAGTGGGTCATATAGCTGGCTTCCTGGTAGATTTGAATGGCCAGTATCTCTCAGTTAAGCTTTACGTCGATCATAATAAGATTTCTGATGTTAAAAACCAATTTAATCTTCATTTTCATATGTCAGCATTCTGCCGCCATTTTGTTATCTGTCGTCGCGTCGCATTTGAAACCATCTTTTCTATTTTCTGCTATTTCATTTCAAATGTAAGTATCAAATATCAAAATGGAACGTAAGCTACTTTTTTATCTGTCATTGTGTAAACAGAACAAACTAAATAGAAAAAAGCGAATGTGATGATATGTGCAAAAATAGTTTTAAAAAATAAAGCTGTAACAATATACAGTGCTACCCATCTTGTGATAGTTTCGTTCAAAATGTTGGAACAAGTCACCATATCGTAGTGTGTCAGAGACCATTCTTATTGTAAAAAGTTTGCGGTTTCGTCCGTGCTTTCTACTGACGATAGCAGCAACGGATATTGTTGCTGCTTTGTGGAATGCACGTGGATTGAATCAATTACGTGTATGGCATTTCATTTTACTTCCTTTCTCGCGATCAGCTGACAGCGAAAAGTGATACCATGATGGGACTTAAATCGGACCCACTTACAGCGCACGCAGTCCGTGTGTTGTAAGTCGTGCAATCCGCTCGGAATTCATGGCATAGTCAGTGATAAACATCACCCAAGTTGATTCCTTTCAAATTGGTCCTGCACTTACTTGAACTGCATTTCATGTGGTATAAAGATTGAGACATTCTCCCCTTCCCCCATGACCCCCACTTTCGTCCGTAGTCGTGTGGGATAAACGATGCCACCCAACAGACTGTACGAGCAGACCAAGCTAAAATACCTCAGCAGGAGAAGTCGACAGGTTGAAAGGGTTTAGGACTCAAGTTTGACGTGGCCTGATTCCCGATTAAATCAAACAAGCGTATGATTCTCGACTCAGGTTCTGATTGGAATATGGCTGCCTTTCTAGTGGTGCATTTTTCTGCACCTTCTCTTACACGGATAATGTCTACTTTTAACATAATGTTGCTTCCGATCTACGTCAGGATGACACTTCTGGTATACTTGCACAAGGCGAATGACCCTTTAGGGGCCATAGTTGAAATCCGCTTTTTTCGTTTTTCTTTCTTCGATACCATGGCAATGCAATTTTAGTGAGCCTTCATTGTATTTTGTGTGATACTTTGCTGTTATTTTACAATAATTTTACACGAAATTTTAACACCAGTTGGCAGGAAAAGGTTAACATTTTCACAATAACATGTAATTGTGCCCACTCGAATGTACTCATGCTGGAAATGGTAATAAATAACCATGAAGATAGGCTCGGGTTAGTTTAAATAGATTTATCATGGAAGTTGGGCATGCATGTCAAGTTTTAAAAGAAAATCTGTCAAAGTCGGTTTGAGTTTCGAAGGGAGTAAAACTGCTCCCAGATGTGAAGATAAAAAAGCGTATCTCTTTTGGGATTAAGAAGAACCTCTATTTTTTTCTTATATTGTTTTACCTCAAAGTGCTGCCCTGCTTATTTGGTTAAGTGAATAAGCCAGAAACAATGACACAAGCTGGTACGGTATTAACGGCCCTTCAGATAAATCGGGTGTCTGAAGTTGGTGGAACTTTGCACCTGACCCGAATTTCCTTCGGCCTTTCTTTTCAGCCCAGGGAGAGGGCGCTGTTCGATTGTTCGGAGGTAATCACGCATTTCAGGGCTACCTCCAGCTGTACTCTGGGGACAGTTGGGGGACGGTGTGCAGCGACGACGAGTGGGACGAGACCGACGCCATAGTGGTTTGCAGGCAGATTGGTAACGTGTACAGTTTTTACCCTGTAGTTAACGACAGTTTGGTGGATGCCCTATAAACTCCCTAACGCCATGACAAAATGTCACGTGTGTGACACTCTGGTCCATTTTGATTTCCTTCCATCGGTTTAATTTGCTTCTAGCCCATGTAAGGTAAATCCTAAAACTAAGAAAACTTTGGTAGACTGTCTATCATACGCTGCTTTTCATGAATGGACATCTTATTGAAGCTGTTTATAATCACAAACTTGACCTTTATTACACGAATAAGTGGCAGCTTCTGAAAAGCTTCCAAAGGAAATAATTTTTAAAATTATTAAAACCAACGCTTTTGAGTGATATTGATATCCAGTAATCTTATCATTGCGAACGCAGTGGACAGAACACTGTGGAAACGAGCATTTGATTTGCTAGAACTTTGTGTCGCCTTTGTTCTTTCTGCTGGTGACTTTTGTTGGATGTTCTGTTCCAGGCGCCATCGGTGGCGTCATGTCTCCCAAGAGCGGCCACACATTCACCAAGGTGGACGGCAGCATCCCCATCTACATGGCAAAGGTCGGCTGTGACGGCACGGAGGAGAGGCTAGGTAGCTGCTCCTCCTCCAACGACACTTCGTCATGCACGCATGCTAGTGACGTCAAAATGGACTGTGTCAGTAAGTGTTGCAAAATGGAGTAGGCCTATCCCAACTTGAGACAAAACAGAAACATGACAGTCAGGTTTCATTTGTAAACATTAGCAGAGATAGAGTGTCGTTAAAGCGTTTCCATAAATTGCAGTGACTCAAGCTATAAATACAAAGGAGGCACCAGCATTAAACGATATGTGCTTATGTATATCTTCACCGTTAGTATATCTAAACTGATGACAAAGGGGCGAAATATGTCACTCAAGAGGAAAATGTACAGTGTGGTCTTTTCTCAAACACTTCCTGTTTAGCCCTTTCCGGATACTTAATCTATACCATTTAGCTTAATCCCAAATACTCGGACTACCGAGTTTTGTTTTAAGAAACGTTTTTTCCATTACCTCAAGGCAGCCACATATCCAGCTTTTGGTGTGGGTGTGTGTGGGAGGGGGCACATTCAAAAGCATGTGCGGCTTGGCCTCATTCAACATGATGTTAAAGGAGAAAAAAAATAAAAGCCTTTCTTACGGTCTCGACTATCGACATCCTTGCTGTCAGTTCGTGGTGTTATTTTCTAAAGATTTTGGTGCTAATACTTGATAAATAAGTATACCGATTACTTTCTTTCCTACTCACCTATGAAGTATTCATAGGTGAGGGGGTGAGTCATAGGTGAGTGAGAGGGTCATAGGTGAGGGGTCAAGTTGCCCCCCCCGTTCCCCTGGCCGGATTTGCCACAGTTTAAATGATTCGATAAATGCACTCAAATATAGGTCTGCTACTGAGGCCTTGACTCAAGGCCAGTCACTTTTTCCGTCGTGTAAGTGGTAGTCTTTTTAATGTACTAACATCCTTCACGCACTCCTTCCATTGCGCTCAAGTTCCCGGCTTCAAAGCCTGCGTGGTCAACAATGGCGACCTACCCCTGACCGGCCGGATCCACAACCAGACCGGAATGAGCGTCAGTAAGTGTGCGGAGCTCTGCCGCAAGGACGGCTACCACTACGCCGGCGTGGACCCACTCAGCTGCTACTGCGGCTCTGCCGGTGACGATTTCCGAAAGTACGGAGTGGCGCCCAACACGGAGTGTATGTCCCTCTGTGGGGGCGGGGCACTGCAGGCATGCGGAGCTGAGAGACGGATAGCTGTTCACGAAGGTAAGGCGATGCTTCGCTTATGTGCGGTCGAGGCGTGGAGGGAAAAAATCGTCGGTAAATGGTGGAAACTCAAAAGCACTAAACAGCCGTTTGGTACTGGATAAGAACCAGAAGCCATCAGGACATGGTCTTTTAGAGGAATCCGAGACAATGGCGTAGGCTGGTAAATGAGGCTAATATCCCTCAAATGTGCACTGGGGGTGGGTCAAAACAGTCTCCCTATCAGTTTTGAATCGGTCAACAGTACAAAAACCTGGAATATGAATGAAGATGGCAAAAGTTACTGCAGTAACATAAATTCAACATAAAACTCTCGATGGAGTTGTCAAAAACGGAGTAAAATACTATAACGCACCGTGAAAAGAAAACAAGTAATCAATGTGAAGCGTGCAACAAACGGCGTCCTACAGAGGATTTTCAGTCGCGTAAGTTTGACGGTCAGCGTTTATGTACGCGGGAATGTGCGCGCCTTCTCGCAACATGCTGGCGTACATAAAATTGCCAATAGAACTACACAGAGTCAAAAATGCACGCGCCTCCGCAGACGTGGTGCGCTTCCTGAAGTGCTTTTGCCCGTCATGTTACGTCACGTGAAAAACCTCCATTGGTAGAATTTGTCCAGCTCTCCCTCCCGCCTCCGCTTTTCGAATTTCCCATGGTGTGGAATTGTCGGGAAACTGATTTTATCACCATCATCTCCCAGCCCATTTCCCTAAACTAGAATCGAGACGATACCCACGGAACCCAGAATGAAGCAACTTGAACATGGAAACAGGCATTTTTGGTGTTTTCGAAAAGTTACAGGGAAATGTTAAGAACAAGTATATGCCTATCCAGTATATTCCAACAGAGCACGTACCGGTAAGCCCTTAAAAATGAGCACGTCTGAGGTCATTCAAACACATCTGTATACACGGGTGCGTGGTCTGCCCCGCCAGCGCGACTCGCATGCATACCTTTTTTTCTGGGATGAACTTGCGTTTCGAAATACCGCATTGGCTCATTATCTGTTTTTGTTCTTACATTTCCAAGTGGTAGTTGGCAGTTGCAGCGGGAGCCTCAAGGCCGGTGCAGGAGCCATCGCGTCTCCCGAGTTCCCAGGCGCTTACCCGCTGGACGGCCGCACCTGCCAGTGGGTGGTGGATGTGTCAGAGAACGGCGACACTGCCGTCCGGTTCCCTGTGTTCAACCTTGCCGGGGGAGACGAGATCCGTAAGTTTGCTGTCGTCATTTCACCACTCCTTACAGCCTTACGGCCTTTTTTTCAACTCAAAAGGACTGCCACGTAAAGAAGGGGCGTTCTGATTTTCCCCCCAAAAGTCCAATTTTCGCAAGTGCTACTAGTTGTCGTGTGTCTCCACATTCATGATCTTTGTTATTCATTTTATTTGCACTTTCAGGCTGGTCTGTCTAGTTTGATACCCCAATCCCAAAGATGCATACATACATAAAGCTTTTACAATGGGTTCTCTGTTACACTGGTATTTATCACCACTGCCGTGTTAAGGATTGGTATGGTCCGTTTGCCTTTGAGTATTTGCCTGAATGGAAAAGGTCATTTGTTTTGCAACGACAGTTAGGTAAGTATGATGCCGTTTATGACATTTCCTTCCCGAACGGCCGTCTTCACTAGATATCTCAATCGACGGGGGGAAGAACTGGACAGTGTTTAATGGCACGTATTACAGCCAAGAAAATCCACCCTTCGTAGCCACCTTCGATGAGAACGAACTCCGGGTCAAGTTTGTCATTGCTGGTTCCTCACAGCGCGACGAGCACGTCTCCTTTGTCCTGACGTTCCAAGGTAAGTTTATGCAGGGGCAAATGTCCCCAGGCGAGTCGCTGAATCTCTCTTATATTTTTTTGTCTAATTCATTCTGTTCATCTGGCTCAAAATCCGCAAACATCATGTGAAACTATTCGAAAACAGTGAAAATGTCGGAAATCTTCATTCTTCCTAAAGAAAACACGAGCTGTGACGTTGTAGAGTTCCCGAACGGTTACCTGGACGTCGTCGACGGTGCTGCCTACAGACCTGGCGACAAAGTGGAGGTTCTGTGTGAAAAGCAGTACATGACAGAGTGGAAGTACTCCATTTGTCGAGAAGACGGTCTCTGGCACAGAGCACCAGAGTGTATAAGTAAGAATGATAAGAAACGCATGTCTTGTAGTGCAACTAGCGGGTCATTTTATTTACAAACTAATTATGTTGAAAGTCACTGTAAAATATGACACGACAGGACGACAAAGATAAGTGTGGTCCACCAGTCTTGACACCGATCGGCTGAAGTGCAGCTCGTTGAGAAAAGTCATAAATCAACGTTATAATAAGAAGTAAATCAAGCTACAGAACTCGCGTTATTGCATGAAATCGTGGTAACGGATGCATTGCACCGTGTTTTAATGGCGTTATTCATATTGTGTTCTGACATTCAACAAACATTGTGAGTGTAAGGGTCCTCTTTGTGACAACTTTTTGATTTTGCATCTTTGCGACAAATCTCATTTTCATTCATTTTATTGATTTTTTTTCAGAAGCGCCACCCGTCGGCCCCTCCCTAGTCTTCACGCAGACGTATCTATTTATGAGTAAGTTTGCACAATGCATTCGCGACATCAGCAAAATATTCGATAAGAAGCATTTCCAACCCAAAAAAGACATTTCATTAGTAGAGACCGCTGTTTAAATAAAATGGAGGGTTTAAGTAATGTTTACTCGTATGCATGGTGATAGTTCAGAAAACTGACTTGTTGCCTCAACTGGTTATTTTCTCAACCGATTTGGACTCACTCACGTCATCTAAGCAACATAATGCTGCTGCACCTTTGTTCTCCAGGTTTCTTCATTCAGTAGCATCACATTCATTCGTATGTTGTTCTTTGTGTGGTTGGTGGAGATCCGGAGCGATGTTGTAAAAGAATTGTAAAAGAATTACAGTGCAGCGCCCCCTGTCGGTGTACTTGAAGTGGTGTGAGGTATATACTGTTTTACCGACTACAGTATTCCAGCACAGTTTGAATTTTTGAAGATTAGGGTTGAGGACTTTGCAAATGCATGTAATGAGCTTTGCTTCGCAGCAGCAGCTCCAGGCATACTGAGAGGGGAGACAGTAAACTGAAAATGCAATTTTCTCGTTTAGCGTCTGATAGTAAATGTATTTACCACTGCTTACCTCATTACATTTACAGTGTTGGCAGTCATGGGCGCCCTAGGCTTGATCTTCTTCATGGTCATCTGTGGTGTTATTTGCGTCGGTCGGAAAAAAAAGAAAGAGGGGTGAGTTTTAAAGAAAAAAGGTACCGCGGGATACCGATGTCTTTGCCGTAGCGTAACGAGCGACTGTGGCAAAGATATGAACGAGTAAATAAATGTGCCTTTCCGTATGGACGTTTTTTGGGTGAGTTGCGCACGCGATGTGTTTATGCCTTTCACTTTCACGGGCACAAAATCTACCCCAACGTAACATACGTGGAACGATTTTGAAAAATACACAACACTTGGCGCAAGCGTTGACGTTCGTATGGAAAGGCGCCTTAAGTCTTTGTAGCCGAGGGGAAAATTTACTAGTGACAAATCAGCATAGGTTAGTTGTTTTCTCGTTTTGTGTAATTTCTTTTTGAGCGGTTATGTGAGAAGATTGAGATGACGTTAAGCTGAATAAACCCCCAAAGGCATGCACGCAGATCCAGAACTGTCTTACAGTGCATCCGATCCGACTACCAACCACCGTTGATAAACGAGGCTTTGACAGCAAAATGCCAACATTCAGGTGGCAGTAATAATTACTGTATTGTGTGGTATGGATGCCACGCTAATAAGCGCGACTTAAGTTGATAAAGTACCACCCTGAAATTTGAACCATGGAAGTCCTGAATACTAATCCTTACCCACTTCGCTGTGCCAGGACTCTTCATAATCATGCTAAAGCCGTCATGTAATGCAGGTGCCTATTATAATTTATTACCGGCAGGATTCGGGGCTAGGGTGCGATTATGGTTTAAAAGTCTTATTGATTAATTAACAGCGGTGGACTATTGGATCGGGTGCACACTCAGAAACCTCTCTCATCGTTTTCCCAAAAGCCAACGAGTCTTTCAGAAGCCTCGTGTGATTAACGTTTGTCATATCAGAGTAGCCTAAACTCTGGACTGTTTATGGTTTACTTTGCAGTGGCCACGTGGTAGCGGGTACCTGTCAGAGGGAGCATATTCAGTGGGTTTTGAAGATGCTGAAAACTGTCTTAATGCAGACACTAATAATAATCATTTGAGAGATTTCCAACCTTTTCTAATCGCCCATCAGGATTACGTTCAGATTGCCTGCTTCCACTGTAAACTGCAAACAAAAATGAATCATAGTTGTACAATCAAAAAGAACCGATTTTTCCTGTAAGAGTGCTTACTTCCAATTTTTACTGGACGTAGATACCTCCAGTCATAGTGGAAGGCACGCTCTGAACGTGAGCCAAAAATGCACCGTCACATTTTTGAAATAATTGTCACTTCATGCATCGCACATAACGTCAACTGCCAACTACCTCCACCATCAAACTATCACTTCTAAATGTGTGTTGATCATTTCTTTTGCTTCCCGCCACCGATCGTGTATTGTAGGACCTACAGAGTTAACACAGGACCAGAGTATGTGTGATGCGCAGACGCAATTTACGGTAAAAAAAACCCAATCAGATTCCAAAATTTGGGGAAACCCAGTATTTTATCTTACATCATGTCAAAGCTAACAGCTAAAAAACCCCAGTCCCTCATATGATTTCCCACCATTTTTTAGTGTTTAAAATGCTAGTCTAACAGTATAGTCCGCACAGGCTCATTTTAGATGAAAGAAGATGCACTGCATATGAAGATATTAAAGCGGTGGCGGTTTTCAGTTTTCTTTTATTTGAAGTCGGCGCCAAGTGTAAGAAAGATCTGTTTGTCTTAAACAGAGAAGCTCAAACACTAGATTTTAAGGAAATCTTTACCAGAATTCAGAACATCACGAAGCATAATAACGCGCCTTTAAAACCACGTTGGGATCAACAGAATCTGGCACTTTATTTAAAGTTTACACTTGGCACCTTTTCCCTGTTGCTTGTAGCTTCGAATTAGACCCAACAAGTTGCACGGAGCCCGCATGGCATAAGGCCGAGCGTGGCTCAATTTCTGCCGTTCGTTTACCACCCAGATACTGAACTGCCAAACCAGTTGCTCTGCATGCTCCATCGTTGTTGTTCTGCATGTTCCATTCATGCTGCAGTGAATAACACACGATAGGTCGATGACTAACTTTTCTAACCATTTTGTACTTTTCTGTTTTGATTTCACATCACATTTATCATGACCTCACTTGTTAATTTTAATGCTATACAAAACCTCAGACAGATTAAAAGATCTGTAATTCATGTCATTTTTAGTTGCACATTGTCTACCAAAACCCAATACAGCACGATTGCAGAATTCATCAATCAGCACATTAGCACCACAGCTTGAGCCTTAAAGTACTCAGCAAGGCTTGTTCACAGACTTGGCATCTCTCCCAGGACTAACAACACACACACAATCTAACATGCTATACACCACAGTACAAACGCAGCAAGTGATCCCATTACAGAAAGGTATACATCACGACCCATCTGGTACCCATACCAAAACCTTCAGATCACTCTGAGAAATCTTAGGTCTGGTAGCTGCCACGGTCACGTGACAAAAACGGAAGGAAAACCTCCAGCGACGGCCTTGATAGCCAGATAAAGCGTAACACAGGCAATCAACCACAAATACAAACGACAGGACGCATGCATGAAACCATAATGGGCCTATACACAAATGGTGGCGTGATATCAAAAAAAGAAAACTCCAGAACAAGGACTTTAACATACAGCAATGCATGCATATTGAAAACAGAGGCAGACATCAGTTAGCTGAAAGAAATCAACATTTACCGAATAATTTGGCTGTGGCTTGAAATTACGCACGAAATTATGATTGCAGCTATACAGCTGTTTCCAGTAATGTAAAGCCGTAGTCAAAATAATTCGGACATGGCTATACTCTACCAGCAATCAGGATGGGCATTTTGAAATGTTTACGGAGCTTCAGAGGTGCCATCCGAAATGCTAGCATCCCGTTCTAGTAGGGTTGACGCTCAACATGAACATATCGATATCACTCAACATGAACATATCGATCTCGTTGATATAAATGACGTTATTCCGTAATGTGCATAACGTCACCCTGCGCAGTTGCGCAGTATCCCACTTTGCAGGAATCGTCAAGTATTTACACTTACAACAGCACATCACATTCCTAACCCTGTGATAAATTACAGGAAATTTTTCAACTTATATACCGGCCGATTTTTCTTGCGAATCTCACGACAGATGGCACCTCCAGAACTCCGCAAACCCTCAGCAATTCTACCAGCAGACAAATATGTAAACGGCCGAGATAGATTTAGCTAAAGCATCTGTTTCAAAAACATCTTGTTTGTCTACAGGTATACGGGTATATCTAGGCAGGAGTCGGCCGAACCAACTAAGGCAGAGAATGAGTACCACATTGACATGCACGAAGGCTCCGACATGGACATGCAGCACGTTGGAGGTCAAGAGGAGCAGGCTATCCCCCTGGCTTCTGGCGCGATGGACGATTAGCCGGCATGACGTTTGGGTACAAGACCTCATAACGCAGCGGGCTATATTTATTTGTATGCCCTAAACGAGGCTTTGTTACGATTTTGTAACGACTTCACTGCGATACACGACGTAATATTAGAGGAAAAAAATGGCTGCCGCGTCAGAGGACTTCATCGGGTAAATCGTCTTTCGTATCACCGTAACATGGACTTCACGCGACAGGGCTTAAAAGCCATTTTCATGCTTTGCACTTCAAAAGCCGTCATTGGTGAATAATTCACTTTTCAAAGAAATAGTATTTTTCATTAATCTGAAACAGTGATTGTGTGGCTGCAAAGGTCAAATTTAACCCCAAAAGCGCCCTCTTACGACGTTGATCTCCATCAGTGCTGCAGCGCCATGTGATTTCAAGAAAACAGTGTGATATGTGTGGCCTCGCTATTTCAACTTTCAATTTTAAATTCTAGGCTGTAGGTGTATTTCGAACGCGGGCAAAGCTAAATCCCATTCGGGAAACCTTTCTGTCGATTCATGCACAAATAGTCTCAATTCAGTTAGATAGTAAGACTGTCGAGTGATGTAGCTTTACAGTGAGTACGTAATCAGTCAATAATCGAATTGATTGATACACTGCGTGTATGGTGTTTTTATGAACAGATCTAATACTTTGACTTACGTTTTGTTTCGGTGTGGTTCGAGACTTTTGAAACACCGTTATTATTACAAACGCCTCAAGACTTTCTCCCCGAGAGTCGCGACCTCAGAGTCACTTGATTCAGTTCTTTCTCTTCTCTCCACTATGTCTTGATACCCTTAAACATTTTGGATATCCAGTATTTTTGTACAGAAAAAGAAAGCAAATGGACTTAGACTCTTTGACAGAATCAAGATTATGGTCATTAAGAGAAAGTATTTATTGAAATGAAGATTAGACTTCAGCCTGGCGAACTGAAGCTGTGGAACATGGTTGGTATTTGCAGCGTATTCTTGGAAACACAACTTTCCTCTTACGTATTTAAAGCCTGTGATTCCTTTCCAGCCCATTTGCTCTATTGCATTGTACATGTATAGCATATAGCCACAGTCCACAAGCGTCATGTTAACACTGTAAATTAAAGAGCACACAGGAGGAATTTGTACATCGTTAATTAAAGTGTTGAGTTACTGTAACTTACTCTTAGATCTATCTGTACAAAGTATAATTTTTTTATGATTCGCATGGCAACATTACCCCTTAAAACAAACAAAAAAAAATGTTTGCATATCTTTTATGAAGAAGGCCTTTCGAGAGAGCAGTATTAGCGAGCAAACACGTTTTTATTTTATGGTGCTCCTTTTATACAAAAGTCAGACTTCTATTTAGAAATAGATCAACCCAGACCCTGTTTCATCTTAGAAAGGAAAAAAAAAGAGGGTTTCAGTTTATCGCAATTAATGTCCTCCTTATAAGTAGATGTGCTTCGACAAAAGTGACGACTTGTGTGATTTAGATTGAAATATTGAGGTAGTTGAGTGGCTTTGATAATCGAATGATTGTAGTTCCAATTATTGCCTGCTGTTTGTCAAAATGTACCGTCAAAATAAATTTATTACGCTCTATTGACAAATACTGTGGAATGCATTAGTCGGTTTAAGAAGAGAAATACAGCAATGGTTAAAATACAGTGGTCAGATTAATCAGGCAAACAGCACTTGGCAAGTCAGAAGTTTAGAGAACATCGTAAAATAAGACGTTACCTAAACTACCTTTCGAAAATTTGTCAAAGGCAGCTGCAAAGGACCTCTCAGCGGGTTCCAGGAACTAAATGCCTGTTGCAAGTATTGTACAAGCCGTGCCGTGATCTTAAAAGGACCGGTGAACTGATTAAGATTTTTCTTTTGCATGAGTCAAATGCTGTAGCCTAAAGGTGTGTCAATCGGTCGTGTTTAATTCCAGGAACATTAACGTAGACATGTACGTATGTGAAACCACGAATGTATAATTAAAAGGTGTATATTAGGACTTAAATTTTTTTCTGTGAAAATTTATTGAGGAACGTACTCTGCTGTATATATACTGTTTTTGAGTATGCGGCTGTATTATAGGTGGAAACACATTTTCCTTCTTTCGTCTGTACCGCTATCTTCACAACCTGCGAAGCAGCAATCAATTCTTGTTTAGAATTAACTTCTGTTGAATAATTGATCAACTAATATTTTTTACAAATATTTGTGTTAAATTCTTGCGTTGTGCGACAACATTATGTGCGGTGCCACTGTGATATATTTTACTGTATTTTCTATTCGAATTAATTTAAATTTGTTTGCCAATAGGGTGTGTGTCGGATTTCCGGTGGAGAATATTCTAACCTTGATTGTTACGCGGATCACCAAAGCCTACTACAACACGAAACAAAATAAAGCAAATCAGAGGTGTTTTTTCAAGTCATCGTGAATATGACACATAATGCCTATCGTCATAACTATACTTAATGGTACTTAGAGGCCTCAAAAGTAGTACTTGGAAGAATTTCTCAGTAGGTTTATTAAATTTACAGCAGAGATTGCTTCCTCGAAAAGTTTGAACTGAAGTTCAGATATAATACAAAGCAATGGAAAGCAATATTCTTTTAAGACTAAGTTAAGTATCTAAATTCGGGTGCCAAAAGGTACCCCATCTGGTATCATTCATCAGTTCGATGCACAACTATTCACGTTATTTTTGTCAGCTTCATTTGAGTCGCTGTTGTGACTAACAGACTTAAACTTGTACCATTCGGTAATGTCTACCACCATTCTTATCATAATTGCTGGAAGATCAATTGGCAGTTTTCGTCCATGGGGAATTTCTTTTGTACCTGGTACTTTGACTTCTTTTTCGATCTGCAGCAGTGGTATATCTGTGGCTCTTCATTCATTGCTTGGTACTTGGTGAAGTGGCGTTTAAGCGATAGCATTGTGACATGGACGATATTTATAGTTACAGTTTGTGCAGTTGTAGTTAATCGTATTAGACCGTAGTGAGTAAATGCCGCAGGCTCACTGGTGCACCAGAACAATGGACAAATGTTAACATTGGTGAATATGAATTGTATAAACAAATTGTTCGACGATTGTATAATAAATGGAGTGAGTTAATTAAAGTCTGGAAGGCTACTGGGACCTCGAATTGGACAATTTTCAACGGACGACGGGTATAACAGGATAGCATATTGAATTGACTTAACACAACTGCATTGATTGAAAGTTGAGAAATGAAGTCACTAGGCTATCGAAATGTAGAAAGAAATGAGGCGTTAATGCGCAATTAAATAGAACAATATTATCGAGTGATGTTAGATGACAATTGAAGTAAGGGCAAATAGGCCAGCTCACTGACGACCCAATTTGTTAATGAAAACAAGTTGTTTGAAGCTTGCGTTTAACAGACTTTAAGTGTAGGCTAGAGTCGATGATAGTTGGACACCAGCAGTTAGGCTTCGATGAGTCCAGGCTTTTTACGCCTTCTAGGCACCAGACGAAGGCAAGTGACAGACATTTGATAAAAGTAGCGTTATGATAGCACAGTAAGTCTTTTCAAAGTGGCTGAGGTCAACATGTGCTGTATTGTGAAGTGATTTATCGTAGAAAAAACCTCGAATTCCCTTTGTATTTGTACTGCATTAATATTGTAGACAAGGCCTATGGTGCCTTATACGCATTCCTTTTTTTCGATGAATGAGCAAAATCTTGTTTGATATACACGGGTTACTCAACATCAATGCGCTGCTGTGAGCATATGGTTAGCCTGGTTGAATGGTAAAAAGTTGTACCGTCATTGGTTAGATATATACACGTGTAGTTAGCCACTACAAATTGTGAATACAGTGTTTCGTATGTAAAGGCCAGGCTAGGCTGTAATGTAAAACAGTTACTCCAACATGACGTTTGAATTTCAACTGAAGAGGATCACTTGTGTGTGGATATTTTGTCAAAAACGTCATTTATTGCTGGATATTAAAAAAAAATAAGTTTCAGAAAATTCAGCACTTGGAAGCCAGTCTCTCTTTTTTGAAATCTAGAAAGCAGTGGAATGTATTTTCATTAATTTAAGGGTGACTTTTTTCCCTAAATGTGCAAATTGTAAATACTGTTTGAAGCTATACTTGATTGCTTTCTTGAAGCAGGGGCAGATCAAGGAGTTTTTCCGGGAGGTGGTCAGGCCCATCCGATTCTTAATGGCCCAATTGCTGCTGATAGACAGATATACAGGAAAATACAAATTTACTGCTTCACTTACCTTTACACAGGTAGTAGGATGTCATCTTTTTCGTTATTATTACTATAATTGCTAGTTAACAAGTTTTGTAACCCCCAACCTCCCTCGGTAAGTCCGCGCCCACGAAGATCGCAAAATCTGCATTCAAATATTGTACGAAATCATTGGACCACATCGCGTCACCCTTAATTTTCCATTAATATATGCCCCAGCATTTTTGGATCACAATTCATCTTATCGAGACGTGTTGAAGATTTTGAATGTTTTAAGACGAACTCCCCGAGGACAACGTGCAGGTGCACAGAACAATTAAAACAGAACACCTTCGGGCATTGATGTGAACGAGTTGAAAAGACTTAGTTCCATGGGAGATCTCTTTGGGTTGCCGTTCGTAGCGTACTGCCGAATACACTACAGCAACAACATATATATAAAACCCAACTTTTGGGTCAGACCTCAGTTCAAACATCTTTTGGTATGATTTTGCCAGATGACCTATTACATTTAAGACTTGAATGCGCATGTCTAACGTCACCGTTGGGTAAAAGCAGTTCTCCCGGAATTCATATCAATATCAGCGACTGGCGTCAACACATCAGCTGGTGTTCCGTGGAGAGAATTGTATCGATTATTATATATGTCCCTACCGCCTGTCAATACTGCAATCATTAATCGATCGAACTTGAGTCGTGAGAAAGTATCCACGTATATACATCACGTATTTGCATCATCAGAAGGCTTTCAAAAATATACTTTGCCTGTGTGCTTGTGGTTCAAATGACTCCACTCTTTTGATTTGTAGTAGTTCTATACTAGAATGAGAAAATCTGGCTTGTTGAGTGACTTGTGTAGAAAGCATTGATTGACAGCATTCTTGGACTACCTGGGAGAATGTTTCGTCGGCCTTTTGCGTGTTTTGCGTGCTGTGATTGAATTAATGACCAGGACACAATGCGCTGCATGGACTTCGGATTTTGGGTCATTGTGGAGTGCATTTTTCTGCTCGTTTTTCAGACTTCGTCGCTAAGAGGTAGGCTATGCATCCAACAAGGTGCCACAGCTGTCAGGAAGACGTTGTGTTACACCTTTAATCCATTGAAATCGTGCCTGTATAGGACCAATCGTGTTGTCGAATCCATCACAAGCCCTGTTGTTACCAGTCCAATCGTGTAAAGGCAGAACAAAGACAGAAGTATGCTTTTTTCACAGTTTATTTGATTAGCCTACGACCTGGCTTCATACTCGATGACATGCGATGGACTTGTGGGGACATTTGGTGGACTCGACCACAGAATCGTCCGGGAGTAGTTGAAACTGTTCTCCGTTGGATTTGAAGCGGAACTCTGCTGTTGCACTGATGTACACTCTTCACCCCCCTCCCGTTTAATCCACTTGTTTCTCCATTCCACCCCTTCCCGTTCTGTCCAGTCCTCCAATCTGCCCAATCCATTCGTATGGCTAATATGCTGGACTCCCTTTGTATCCTATGAGCCAAATGCATCTGTCAAAATTTACGTTCAAAGTCTTCCAGAGCGTGGTCGCATTGGGGAATTATTGGGATGAAAATAAAAACGCTGCTAGGTAAAGACAACGTTGCATATGCCATTGGATTTTCATGAGGGCATGACGGGGCCACGCGTTTGCAGGTTGCTCCCAGTTCCACCTGTTTACAACCTCCACATTAAATATAGCCATAGGTTTGATTCTGCATGCAAATTGTCTCCCAACAGCGCAAAGTCAGACCGAGGGCTCGGTGCGGCTTAGACGGGGCATCAACAGTCAGAGCGGCTATGTGGAGATTTTCCATGACGCTGAGTGGGGGAGAGTGTGCGACACGGACTGGGATCACGCTGATGCCCACGTCGTTTGCAAGCAACAAGGTGAATTTCCACAGGTTACTTTCTCTTGCACTTCTTGTTTATATTCCTTAAATTGTTGGTGCACTGTAACGAGGAGTGGCCCCTGTAACGTGGCGTACTTTGATTGCTAGAACAATAATTTTACCTACAATTTCACCGTAAGTAAAAATTTCATCAAGCTCGGGTCATCAGTTGTGCCATATCTCCGGACACCACCGGTTTGAAATTTTGGATTGAAATTCATGACACCGAAATTGTTCGCAAACCCTCAACTGCATGTATTATAAAGGTAATGGTACCAGTATATAACTGATAGGGTTTACAGGTTTTAAGAAAAGTGGTTTGGTTGGAAACACTGCACGAGAAAGCCGAGGGAAACGTGGAAGTGGGTAAATCTGGTGCAAGACCAGTTCTGACATGGCTGATGAACTGCTTCGTGCTCAGTCATCTGTGACAGTCAATTGGATTTCTTGGTGTTGTAAGAAAGAGGACATCATTAGTTAATAAATGGTGGTTGCCAATTTCCAAAATATTTAACACTATCCAAGGTACTAACAAATTTATCTCGATTTCCTTTTTATAAAAATACACTGTAAATTGGCCTGCGATACTGAAGGCAATTTATTAAACGCAAAAGCTGGTGGTTTGTGTACCATTTTGATACCAACATACATTACATAAAACGTTGTCGCTAAGGTGACTCAAAGTGGTATCTGGACAGGGCTACTGGGAACATATTGATAACAAATGATATAAATTTAACATTACACTGAGTTAATTCAGCCCAAACGCTTATTTGTCAACCGAAGACTAGAACAGTGTAGCAAATGTTAAACGCGGTATATACGTACGCAACTGATGACTTCTGATAATCATGCGGGATATTCACGATTTCCCTTTTAGGTTACAATGGAGCCAAATTCCCAGCATCAAACTTCACAGAGCCCCCAAACCCTGGTCTCCCAATAATCCTCGACAACTTACAGTGCACTGGACGGGAGACAGCGCTCGCCGACTGCCCAAAGGGCGAATGGGGCCAAGTGACGACTGGGTGCCAGACTGCCAAAGTGGAGTGTATGTCCTACGGTGAGAACATTTTCTTTCCTTTTTTTTGTTTGAGTTATTGCTACATCAAGATCATATGAAAGAATGGAAGTTGGGTAATTGTCCACCCGTGGGCTGATAATATGAACAATGAAACGAAAACATTTCTGCTCCAATTCTTCAGTACTTGGATTATAGGATGGCAGATACAATGCGGGACGCATAGTTTTGACAGTAAAATGGCACTGAATTCCAGGCTGGGACTAAGCAAGCTTAAATCAATATGTGGGCGTTTCTACTGTCTTTTCCACTATATATGTTTGCGAGTTTACTCTCACAGTGATTAAAGGGCAGCTGCAATCAATTTGTTAAAAGACTTCAAGGACTTAAAGTCTTCAAAACGCGCCTTTATGTCTGCGTTAACCTTATTTTCACCTTTTTTTCACTATTTCAATGGGTATTTTGCCGCCATTTTGGTTTTTATGCCGATGAGCACTTTCATATTCATGAGCAAAATTGCAACATCATCCCAGGAAGAGAGTCTCAGTGTTGGTTTGTACACAAAAAGTGCCGCATTTTCGTAAATCTTGCTGGACTAAATTTCCTCTTTGATGATTCCTTGCTGTTTATGTGCATAGCAATGAGCATGCATCAATCCCATTCTCAGAAATGTAAGTTACTTCTGGTTTTACAGTTTGAACAGAAAAACCTTTACAATGAACTATGTTTTCCCGAGATGAAATCACGATAACAGCGCCACAAGTTTCCAGGAAAGCTTGGATAACTTTCAAACTTTTAAAAGGTGAACTTCAGAGTGTATTTATTACCAAATAATGAATGCCAAAGAGTTTTTGCACATAAAAAAATTGCAGAAAAATTGTATCTGAGAAAAAGTTTTCTCTCGTCATTCCTGCAGTGCCTCAGTTCATTGGTTGCTTCTCAGATGACTTGGATCGCCTCCTGCCGGACTACTCCGGCCACTGCGAGCAAGGTCTGCAGGACCCCCGTTGCGGCGGATGCGACTTCACCAACAAATCCTGCGACAGCGCGTCCATGACCGTGGAGCTGTGCATCGAGATCTGCTGCAATGACAACGGCTTCATCTACGCCGGCCTGCAGGGCGGGGACGAGTGCTACTGCGGGAGCGCTACGGCCCAGTACGCCAAGATCGGGAGGCTTCCAGAGGTGCTGTGCAACACGCAGTGTTCTGGCAATCCGGAGCAGTCTTGCGGTGCGGATTACAAAATGGATGTCTACGACTGTAGTAAGCATTCTGAACTCTGAATTCTGGGATTAATTTAAGAAGGCATTTAAAATACGTGGTCTGGATTTCCGCTGAAATCGAATGTGCTGCATAGGGCTTTTCACCCATGACAATGAAACCTGATTTTCCTTGTTTTTGATGTGAATAATGTGGTGTGTCCATATTTCAAGAACAAAAAGGGGTCGCACCGAATTTGTTCTGTTTTCTCCCGCACAGCTACATCACAAAATCTGCTTGATTACACAAATCAATAACAAATCCAGATTTGCCGAACAATGGAAACTGTAAATGCGGGTACCGTTGTTTTAATTAGTTTGTTGAAATCAACAACGTGGTTCATGCGCACGTCCAAGGCCAATCGCCCATCTGTCGCTAGAGTTCAGATCTAAGTATAGAGGTCGATAGCACATGTAAACACAAATTATATGCATTTCACACACTATGCCTATAGAATTTATGCCAAAACAACTATTGAAAAATCTACCGATAATAATCGTGCAATGTCGTTTGGCATTCCAGCGCCACGAAGTTTATCGAAAGGCTTTGATTGTTAACAAGTCTAATTACAGGATATGAAAATACACCTTTTTGTCAAACCGAATTCAAGAAAAGTCGCAACGGTTCGTAGTTATGTATCGACATTATATTGGTACAGTGGCGCTTCTCACTGCGTTTTTGCACCTCTTATATATCTGGATGACCGACAATCTGTTTGGATGGGGGTACCCATGTATAAAGGCGCCAATAGAATACTTGCTCCAGGGAGCATCGTTTTCTGACTACCTCAGAGTGGATAAGAGGAATTTTAACCTTTTCCGCCTGGTTGAATTAAAATCTTGCAAGTGTGCTCTCCTCATTTATCTAAAACCAGTTAAGTCACGTGTAGTAAGACTTCTAGTTTCACGAGTTTCACGACAGGTTGATGCCTAAATTTAGTGATTACAGACAAATGTAAGGTCACCGATGATAAGGTGATCCCTTCCACCACGTGGTGGGTTTTTCACCATGTCGTAGGCTCGGGTTGTGAAGCTCCAAACGTCAACAAAGTAAACCTTCGCACGTCCCCGGCCGTGGTGCAAACAACACTGTACAAGACAGGGCAAGCACTGACCTTCTTCTGTGAGCCCGGTTTTCAGCTGCAAGGGGCTACGACCATCTCATGCCAGCCAGGGGGACCGTGGAGCGCCCCTGTGCCTGATTGTGTGGGTGAGTACAACATGCACCTGTATGTTTGGTCAGTATACGTCGATCAGTAATAAGCATGTGATATATAAAGGCTGATTGGCTTCTAGATGCATTGGTATTATTCGGGACGGTCTCATGTATATTGTACTCGAATGTTTATCATATTATAGACAAGTTCCGTGGCTTATGTAACAAGTGTTATTTATGTTTGCTTTTAATGACTGTTACTTATGACAGAAATTCTTCAAGGAAGTATGACTGTATTATCCTGTAAATAAACTGACTTTCTTTGTGTTTCAGAGCCAACCTTAACCGAAACGCCCCCTGGTAAGTTCTACCCAAATCGTATTCAAGTGGACATACAGACTTTTTCCATTGAGTATGCATATAAAACTGTTTGTCATTCCCAGCAGCACTTCAGAGCCTGATGAGAAACTCATTTGTAGCTCGTTTTTGCATTCAACAGCTAGCAGTCCTTGTTCTTACCCAACGACTCTGCCACAAAATGGAATCTACACGCCTGCCGCCGTGTCGTTTCAACCGGGCTCCGCCGTCCAACTCTCATGTGATCCTGGCTACCAGATCACGGGAAATCCGACGCGTACATGCCGCAGCAACGGAACATGGACAACGGAGGACCATGCATGCTCAGGTAGACAATCTGTGTCTGAGTTGATACAGACGGTTGGATGTGTTTTTGAAGTGACCTCATTAAATTCCCATGCACTTCTTTTCCACACACATTTGGGAAATGTAGAACACATGATTTTCACACATATTATGAGCAATTCGACCGAACACTCCTTCGTTAAAGGCAAAAGACATTTTGGGATTATTTCAGACTGAAAGCGCCATCTTCATGCAGTGTACATGTGTTAATTATATGTTATGCTTAACACTTTGTGGAAGCCTTTTGCTAACATGAACGTTAGCCTGACCATGTACGTCCTTGCATGAATAGGTACCTGGGATAGAACCCTACCGAAATTCTCGCAGGTCCAAACTTGAATTTTTAAAAAATAAATTTATTCATCAGCTTTTTTCTTTGTAGTTGTAGACTGTGGTCTGTTACAACAGTTCCCGAATGCAATCCCGTCAACCTCAGCAACTACGTACGAAACTAGTGTGACGTTCACTTGCGAGTCGGGGTTCGAATTGACTGCCGGCTCTACGGGCAAGACATGTGATGCTTCGGGAAACTGGATCGGCCCAGACCCGCAGTGCGCAGGTACGACGGTTTCTGTGCTACACAAATCTTCTAGAGTTGACTCTTCATCGAAGCCTCCTTTTTGGGACTAAATGGAACAAGAACGTCCCGATGCACGTCACAGCAACTTGAGCGGCATTCTGCTCAGGACCTCCTGAAAAAATTGATGCGCTCGAATTGATCGTCCGTTTGACGGATTTAGATTCGTACTTGTGACTAGGATTCAAGCACAAAATCCTGCAATTTTACATACGTAATAAGGGTTGGACATCGCCTAACACTAAGCGAAACTTGTCCATATGATATCTATTTGTATGCAAATTACAGTAAAGATACATTACATACATATAGACAGGAACCAGTAATCTTGACCATGTTGCTTCACTATATGGGCTTGAAAACGTCTGGTTCGACATTTCTTGTTGCCATCCCACGATCGAAAAGTGAGTGCTTTATCCGTTATGAAATTCACACGGAAAAATTTTCAAGTTTGCGCGTGTTTAGTCCCTTTCAGCGTTTCATCTAAATTGTAAAAACTGTTCCTTTGACCCCAAGGTGGATCTACCTGCGCCTTACCGCCCCTCCCGACCCGGGGTCTGACCACACCGTTCAGGGACTCCTATCAGCCCGGCGATGACATCTTCTTTTCATGTTATACCGGCTATAGGATTGTTGGCGCCACCAGTGCCACTTGTCAGAACGACGGGACTTGGAGTGACAGTGTGCCAACGTGTGAAAGTGGGTATACAGAGCAATGACCTATCCATTAATACGACTTCAGATGCTGATATAAATTGATGGTAAATACGCAAGAACCTACACTGACAGCTCGAGGAAATTCATGTATAATACGGAGTCCCTTAACCTGTGGTTGCAAGATGAAGGATTACATTTCTTTTACCAGCTGAGAAATATTTGTCATTTCTGCAAGTCATCTTGGGTAGATTTCTTAACCGATATTGTCAGGGATTTAAATACTTCAGCGGAATCAAAGTATACAGAAGAGGTCTAGGAAGAATCCTGATGAAAATCTAATAAGGGCAATGCACGTCCGTGTGTAAGCATCCCTGTACCCAAGGGACCCATCACCTGTATCCCCTTTGTTCCCGATGAGGAAAGGCTGTGTTTCAGTGCGTGTTTAAACTAAATCTGATGATTTATCTTTACTCATTCAGTAAAGCTCTTAAAACTACAATCAAGGTGTTCATGTAGGCATTTTAAGTCAGTAATCATCCAGAAAAGATCTCACTCACTCATCTGAATACAGGCGAGTCACAGTAGTGCACCTCCAAGAGTTTGCAACGCGTTGGCCAATCACAACGCGTGAAATCTTTGCGCACTTGGTCGACGGATTTCGCGCATTGTGATTGGCCAACGCGTTGCAGACTCTTGGAGGCAGACTTTAATTTGTGAAACGCCCGTATTCAGATGAGTAGTCTTTTCTGGATACTAATTACAGACTTGCTACTCCGTTTTACTGTTCGCTTCCCTTTTTTGTGTCATATCCAGTCGTGGACTGTGGCGCCCTCCCCCAGTACCCTTTCGCCACGCCCATCACAACGGCAACAGTATTCGCGACCTCGGTAACCTTCCGGTGTGACGACACCTACGAGTTTGCGAACGGCGCAACGCCATTCAAGACGTGTGACCAAAACGGCCGGTGGGTTGGCATCGACCCTGTTTGCGAACGTGAGTTGTGAGGCCTATACTTCCATCACTGTTTGTGTCCAGATCCAAAATCCTTTGTTGCACTTTGATGTAGGCATCCCTATTATCCTTTCTTTTATCAATATTCCCATCTGTAGAGTCTGTGTGTCCTCCTCTGCCGAAATACTACCAGGCGGTTCAGAGCACAGATGTAATAGTCATTAACACCGTGGTGACTTTTACCTGCGAATCTGGATACGAACTTCGGGACTCCAACCCTGCCCCCACGAAGACTTGCACCAGTGGAGGCATATGGGCGGGTCCAGATCCAGTCTGCCAACGTAGGTATCGCGAATCTTGAAATGGCTTGGGTGAAAACCTGAATTCCATGCCGTTCAATCATATGGTTGGGTTCACTATAAATATTGATAAAGGACACTTTTTTATGGTTGGAACTAGATAGAAGTGGATGGGCAGTGCTTAATTTCTGACACCATTCAATTATTATATTCAAGATTTCTGATGTGATAGGCCCTAAATAGTTCTTTCTTTAATATCTGTGACAGGTTCGGGTTGCGCGCCCCTGCAGTCCTATCCCAACGCCATCAAATCGACCGACGCCACGGACATCGGAACCGTCGTCTTCTTCACCTGCCGTGAGGGGACAGTCAACCTACTCGCTCCCGACGAACCGACCAAGACCTGCTCGCCGGACAAGGAGTGGGTCGGACCCGATCCAAACTGTGTTGGTAGGTAGCAAGTAGAGCACATTCCCTAAAATTATTTTTGGGGGATCAGTTGATGAATCAACAAGATTAAAATTGATGTTGTGCACTTTACATGTGCCATCATTTCCATTATAGGCTGCAGGCAAGCATAAAAAATCTAGCTGTTCTTGATGATAACGAATGCTTTATAGTCCTGCCACACTGCTTATGGGACCGTCCTCCCTCGTCATAAGCGGCCAAAATTTGACACACTGGCCCTTGGGCTTTATCATTTTTCTTTGGTTACTTGGGTGAGCCATTTTAAGAAGACCTTTACGTGCATACAGCAAAGACGGTTGAACTCATTTTCCCACGTTGTTTTGAGAATCATGACAGTAATTTATGTAAATTATTCATATGATGTGCACAGTTCAAAATCATGATTTTTGTTATACCAAAATGCCCTCAGTGTTTACATGCAAGGGAAAAACCCCACTTGATCTGTACATGCAGTTGACAGAGATTGTGGACTGCTGCCGGCGTTCCCACACACCATTCCAAGTACAACGCTGACCAATCTCAACACGGAGGTGTCCTTCCAGTGTGAAGCCGGATACCAGTTGGTTGGAAGCACAGCAATCAAAAGGTGCACTCAGCTGGGATGGCAGGGAGCCAATCCCACTTGCCAGGGTAAGGGATGCAATTATTGATAAAAGAAACAGTTGGGTAGTTCCACGCTTTTAAATTAAAAACAACTTTAAATGCAAACGACGAAGACGTGTTTCACAAAACCCCTCTACGTGCAACTCATTTTCCACAAAACCGCTCCATTTCGTATGAGTAACACTGGCCAAGTCTCTCTGGGAATGTTTATTGCATATTGACTTCAGAGCTGACTTGCGGACCTATACCCACCTTCCCTCACGCCGAAGTCCAAAACCCATCTGGTAGCCAACGAGTGTCTACCACCGTCACCTACATCTGCCAGGAGGGTTACGTGCATCAAGGAGGGGACGGGAACCAGCCGTTCAAGACGTGCATGGATAATTTGAACTGGGAAGGAATCGACGCCAATTGTCAGGGTAAGAAAATCGTCGTTCAAAATTTGGAGCCACTTTAATTAAGAACTTGGTTCGCTATTGGCCTATAATTGGGGTGTAGACTATTGTGTCAACGATTCGGAATCATCCTACTGAAGTTGGTCCCCTGACTCATAAGTAGCCGCGCTTATGGCGTATTGCAGCAGCTGAGAGGAAGGCTCGAAATTAAGATTCCTGATAATTTTTGACCTTAGTTGGACAAGTTGGACCCATGCCACGCGTGGGCTCGAACATGTCACTCTGGTCAAAACTGTCCTGGGCGTTTTGTCTGCATCAGATATCAGACACAGTTCGCATGGTCTAATTTGGCCTTGGATGTAGGGTTGGTTTCACCTGCCTCCAACAACAGGTGACTGTGTTATTTACAGAAAACATGAGGCACTACATCTTGACTCATGTTATCTCTGTGCACGTTTTCCCTTAATACATCTTTGCCATTTTGACACTGTTATTGGTTTCTGGCTGTCTTCGTCTTCTGGGACACTCGATGCGGGTGGACATGTCTCAGGGGAGGACACAAAACCAGCAAAACCCTTTGTTCGTGTTTTAAATTGGTACAAATGGCCTGATCACTTCGTAATAAGTGAATACATGGAATGTCAATGTATTGGTGTTAACATCAGAGCTGACTTGCGGACCAGTGCCCATCTTCCCTCACGCCGAGGTCCAAAACCCATCTGGTAGCCAACGAATGTCTACCACCGTCACCTACATATGCCAGGAGGGTTACGTGCATCAAGGAGGGGACGGGAGTCAGCCGTTCAAGACGTGCATGGATAATTTGAACTGGGAGGGAACCAACCCCAATTGCCATGGTAAGTTGTGATTGGGAGCAAAATTTTTTACCGAAGTTCGACCTGCGTGTCGCGAATCAAACACTTAGTGTCAGAATTTTTGTGGGATGGCATGTGGCCTCGATCGTGGTAAGGATATTTGACTCCCAATCATCAGATGCTTGAACCCAGCAGCTTGAAGATAATGTGATCATGGGCAAGTCACTCCCCCCCACACACAAACCCTTACACAGCAATACTTGTGGGGTATTTCCTTTGTTCTCGTGTACAAAACTCTCACACAACACGCCAAAAATTTCAAATTCCCTCCAATTTAAACCAAATTCACTTTCCCGGGTTGAAATTTTGACCGTATGTCCCTTATATAAAACACTTCAATTTGCGACAGATTTTTACCCCTCAAATTTCCCCTTTTTGAGTTATTTCCAACTATCGGTGTCGTGCAATTCTTGTGGGGTACCAATCTAAAAACTGGCCTTGTGGGGTACTTCCCATTGTTCCGGTACCCCACAATGCCCCATGTATAAGCGCATACTCACCCACGGCCGCCGTTGTCCGCACAGGTGCATAAATGGGTATCCTGTGAGGGCAGAGACCATGTTGGATACAAGCTGCCAAGTGATCTTGGCTGGCGAACAGGGTAATACTTGAAAAGCACTTAAAGATTGTTGGTACAACAGAAAGCATTTTACATTTATAAGCCTTCAGTTATAACATTGTTATTCTTATAAATGATCCATTTCAAAGGATCTTTTCATCATTTTAAATTTAATGGGACGCAGTCGGTGCGTGGCATCGCAAGACGATGGGAAACTTGCACTCCCAAATAAATGCAATAAATACCCGAATCTAATCTTAAAGAAATAACTACATGTATGCTGCATGCAGCTGTAGACTGTGGCCCGCCAGACGAGGTACCCCCTGGCGTCATCACCAACGGCACAGATTACACGTTCAACAGCAGTGTGACCTACACGTGCAACAGCTCAGAAGAGTTCATCGTCGGAAACGCGACCGTCTACTGCCTGGCCACCGGGAACTGGTCGTCCGACGTGCCCGACTGCGGTGAGTATAGACAAGACCCTTGAGCGCGTATGGTGACGGACGGGCTAGGAGCAGGAAAAACCTTTCTTAGGCCTAAAAGAGTTTGTCATAAATTATACTTTTCTTCTTAGATTTTGCATCACTTTCGCTGGAGTTACGGTTTTGCCGTTTGTTGATGATTCTGCAATTTATTTGGAATTTTTAAAGCTTCACCAAAGTTTTCAATTTACGGAATGAATATGTGCAAATGTTGACCCAAGTCATCTGCATTTTTGCTACAAAGCACTGATGGGCACTGCAGTCCTCATCATTTCGTGAGTTCCAAAACTTTCTGTCAACAACATGCGCAGAGCAGAATAACATTGACTCTTTAGAATCAGTTATTTACATGTGTAGTGACAAAGTAATGAAAATGCAGTACCTTCAAGGGTTATTAAGGCAATGCCATGTTTTGTTCTATGGATATAACAGCTTACCCATTGGATGGAGCGTAATTATTTCTTTAATGCTTTTTTGTGTGTGTGTCCAGATGACGTATACACAGGAGCTGAAAGCGGTACGTGTTGCTTTAAAACTTCAGTCAAGTCAGCTCAAAGTTCATATTGATTGACTCTCAAATAGTTGGGCCATTTTGATCCATATTTGGTGAAACATTAACTTTTGGTGTGGTGTAAATCCATGCCGGGGAATGGGGGATGGGAGATGGCTTTTAAAAATTTGAAAATTCGAAAAAGGGTGGGGATTGCTAAACACCACGACACTAGGAGGCGCTGTTCATGATACAGATGAGTATTTTACATAAACTTGAACCCCATAACCTTACAGCAAACAGGCTTATTAAAAGATTGTGTGACTTTTCGCCCTCTTTTAATTCGATAAATGTGAGCGGGATGATAGAATAGTCTATCCCTCTGGTAAAAAAGTGGTCGATATGTACCCCCCATTCCCCAATACTGTATTTGAATAAATCAAACCTTGGTTTCCCAAAAGTGCTGAACATTTCGCCAGCATCCTTAATTACAGTGTAATTTTACAACTGTCTCCCGTCTCTTTGCACGGTACAGATCCCAGGAATATTCCATACTGGGTCTGGATAATTCTCCTTGCTCTCGTCGTGTGTCTCATTTTTCTCATAGCGTCGTACATCGTCTACAGGGTGTACGTATGATTTTTTTCACCTGTTTTATATTTCTTGCTTTTGATTGGTTTGAACAAAGTTTATTTCGATAGATTTGATGGGGTCGGAGTGAACCATGGTGAGGTTGGGTTTAGTCAGTTTGATTTGATTATCTTTTGATTTTTTTAGATTTCTTTTGATTTTTCTGGTGATTTTTTCATTGTCTAATTACCGCCTTTTTCGTTTCTTTTTGCTGATATGTAGCAATGTAATATTTCCATCAGTCATTAATCTAACCATTATACCGTTTGTTTAAATATTCCCAGGAAGCAACTTGTTGGCGCAAAGCGCTGTGCTTACATGAAAAAAAGCTTACTTGTTTCTTTTCATTTTGTTTCTTTCTTGAACACCTCAGGCACACAAGGCCGTACGAAAAGTACAAGAAAAAGAATGCCGACAGTAGTGCACCCGGTCACGACCCCCCGCAAGTACCACTGCACGGTATCGCCATAAGCGACCCACATCAAGTCGCCAGTGCAAACTACGGAATGGCCCACGACGAGGAAGGTGACACCGGCGTGGCTTCCAACGAGTCTGATCTACAGGATGTGTCGCTGGGATCAGAATCAAATTATCGCTACCTGGGCAATCCGTACGCGGAGTCCGTCCGCAGCGGCTCTGTGCACCCGGCGAGCGGCACCAACGACTCCGGCATGTACCCGTCAGACCCCGAGAGCAACTCGGTCGGTACTGACGTCGCTGGGGCCGGGTACGGCGGGGAGAATGCGGGATCGTCCGGGAAACAAGCTGGAGATAACCATGACGGGACAAAGCAAGAAGACGTGGAAAAGAAGGAGAAGGACTTCGTTGACGACATGCTGGATTCTGCTAAGGAAAAACTGGATAATTGTGTCGTTCAGTGAACAACGCAGATTTATAGCTTGCAACAGACATTTAAATGGTACTTAAAATTTTGATTGCCGCTGAAAGATTAATCAGTTTAACCTGCGTGCGGATTTTATATCTGGATTTCCAAAATTATTTCTTTCTGCAGAGAACCCGTGACAAGCTGCTGTTCATGTAAATAATTATACTGGACAGAAATAAACTACTTATTAAGTACAGAAAAGGTACTTTAGGAACGAGGTCGTTCCTGTTTTCGATTTTAAATATTTGAGGAACATAAAGGTGTTAGATCAGTCATGTACGGTGCGGAATTTCTTAACAGACTGCAGTATATATTCACTAACTCTTAAAGACTTTCTTATTTGGGTTCAAAGTTATAGATGGGATATGACGTCATAGCCGTAAATTCCGCGCTTGGTGTATTGACTAGCAAATAATCTGATGATGATGCAACTTGCTTATAATTTTTTAGTCTTGCGCTTTACGTATCGATATTTCACAATAACAGACGATACCGGGAATAGATTGCGACAGGAGTCGACATTCGAATAAATAAAATGGCGTCGAAGTTTTTAGCACTCTTGTACTTACCTTTGCAGAAGAAATCACTTTGCTACGATACATCAGATTCTTTGGGTTAAATATCCGGGGTGCATACACGTACACTGGTACTACAATCAATTTGTCATCCCTTTTCAAACGCGCATTGGGTGACAAATTTTGCGCAGGTGCCTGCCACGATCTCTTGGCTGCTGTATGGATCTTTGGGCTGGAACATTTGTAATTTAAATCAGTGTGGAATCAAGGATGAAAAGACGGGCATCGAAAGACGCGTCAGCCTTCGTGTCAGCGGTAGACCTGGTAAATCTTGAGGTTAATTAAGTGTGTGAGTTAGATGCGCTTGATACTTAATAGCGGTCCTGGCTGTGGGGTCTATAAGCTGAATGGGACTCTCTTGGACTCAAGTAAGTTTCTCAGTGTAAGACGGAACATGTAGAGCCCGTTCAAGATGCAGCGCGTATAATTAACACATGTCATAAGCCCCGAACTGGACCAACAGAGGGCGCAATTTTCTTAGCAACTGACAGTTACTTCAGTGTAACAGTATGCTGACAAATCGCTTAGTCACGGACGGTTATGAAATGCAAGCGTTGCAATCGCATAGCTACCAACAAAATGAATACTTTCCACCAACTTTGTTCTTTTCAACTGATTGAGGAGGTGTTTATTGTCAAGGCAGGTATGACAGGGACATACATCTCGAAATTAATCCACCAATACTACATGAACGAGTCCGACAGAATTCCTGGATCTCAAAGCAAAGAGTCGCTTTCCCCAGTTGTTCACTGTCCCAGCATGGGTGTGAAGTCAGCATCCTCGCGGTAGCCTATTACTTTACTGGCTGCATTTGCTGCGCAAAAGACAAAACTTACCCTCTGTTTTATCAGAGCCGATGTACATTTGTAAATGGACCTAATGGTAGATTCGGGGTCTAAAGAGGCAGGGCTTGAACGCAGGAGGGGGGTGTCATTTTCATTTATCTCAGAAATTGCTTCGCCATCGTGTCCAATTTTGTCTCTGAGTAGAATTCAGGCTACTAGGAAATGACTTTGTCTTCACGAGCCCTCGATGTCATTGCGTCAACGGTTTATGAGGACGTTGGTCTGCCAGAATGGGCTGCCAAATGGGAAATCCCCTGGCATAACATCTTTGTGGATAAGAAAGTTCTTGGCAGTGGTCATTTTGGCGAAATGAGATGGGGTGCGGTGCAGAAAAAGGGGGATTGATCAAGTCTGTAATTAACCTACTCAAAGGTAAAATGGAGAGAGTATTAAACGTACACCCGCGTTCTTTATACGTACTTTTTGTGCAATTAACAATTACGTTTTAAAATCTTGATACGCTACTGTAATGGAGGGGTTAATCAGCCGGATTATTCACACAGACTCCTCGGGCTTTTATGGAAATACCTTCATAGAATTTTCTATTTCTTAGAATGTTGATTTGGTACTCGTACATGATCGCTTATCACGGCGGGTGTCATTACTCTAGTTCTCACCTACAAGGTGTTCAATGTGCCACGCTTAAAATGTGTTTCTGGATTTCTCATACAGTTATGAACTTGTGATAAACTGCTGGAACGAGGATCCCAAAAACCTACCAACTTTTTCAGATCTGGTTCTAACCCTGAAAAGCTTGAAAGGCAAGAAAATGAAGCATGTAGGTATCTAGCTGGACTATTCAGAATTTTCTCTTTTTTGTATGATCGTGAATCCAAGTTTGTGCGAATGAGCTAGACAGTAACATCTTTGTTTTCTAGGTTTGAGTTGAGTGGGGTTGACGTGGGCCTAATTTGAGTGGGAACGGAACGTGTGGTGGGTTAGACCTGGCTGAGATGGGTGGGGAAGCACTGGCGGATCGGGGGGAGCAAAGGGGACAGTCACGCCCCTCCCCTTGAAATTGAAGCGATTGCTTTTTTTATATGAAGAAAAGGACGGTTTAGGGGACTATTTCTCCTACCTTCCTTTAAAAGAGCGTAAAAAGTCCTACAATTTCGCTTTATCCCTCACAAAGGACATTATAATTAATGTGGCGTAGAGAAATTCTCAATTTTTGCTCCCGATCCCCGGTCAAAGCGAGATTGTCCAATTTAAGCCCGCCCTGGTATAGCTGCCGAGACGTCATGGCTTCAGACAGCAGGGCAGTTGCAGGCTGACAAGTGGTTAGGATTGTCAAACTTATGTTTAATGTCGTAAAGATTCATGACTTTTGCTTTTCACTTTTAAACTGTATTCTCCACAGATCTTCTTTGCGGTGGATCAGACGCATTGCGAAAATTGTGCCATTCTTCCCGAATCGGATGACGTTTGAATGCGTAAACAATGTGCCTCTGTAGTGAATTCCTTCATTTAGTTTCTAACACGCCCACGCACGCGGCCAGGTGATTGTAAATAAAAAGCCATACTACAAAAGGTGGGACGCTGTCCTATTCTGAGCAACCCTTGGCGCCTAACGTGTTTATAAAAGGCTCCACTATTTTCTAACGATGACTGTGGTGAGGCAACGAAAAGTCCTTCCTACTTAAGTCAAAGTTTCGTCCTTCGTGGACTGTGTAGCTTTGGAAACTGGTTCGGTGGCGTTTGCCTCTCACTGGCAGCCGACGGGTCCACGTAGCCGAGTCCTATAGCTACCATGTCTGCAGTTTGACGGTAACATTTAATTTAGAATCTGGGCAGGTTGCTAGCAATCTTTTATTTAATTCAGTTAAGCCTCAGTAGCAGCAGGCTAGTTTTCATTTCAACTTGGCAGTTGCAAGTTATTTTGACACAAAGTTCATATTTAAAAAATAGCATCTATTAAAAACTGGTGACATTGACGTCGAATAGAAGTTTATAGCGTATTATGATCAGATTTTTGTTTGTAGCAGGACATAAATTTTCAACTTATCATCAGTTAGAAGATAAGGCAATTCCTTTAGCTCTTGATTTTGTAATTATCAGTGGTGCTCAAATCTACAACCTGATAGGACCAACTGTTCGTAGGTTGAATTCCTACAATGCCAGTGGCCTTATTTTTGTAGTTAAATAATTTCAAGCGCGCAATCAAACCTCAGACAAAATGCCTTAGTTTCGTCTGCTACTACATTGTATTCCTTCTAGATCGTTTTGTAAATTCCAAGAGTAAAAAGCTTCGTGTACCGCTCAAAAGACGACATTGAAAGCTTCCCGCTCAGCCATGACGCATGATTAATGAAGTGAACAATAGGATTATAGCACACAATAGCATTCTGTGGAGTGGCACAGTATTAAGAACATTGTCTTGGCACAACTCGGTGAGAAAAGAACTCGTCGAGGCAAAGATGGGTGCGATAAAGAAACACTTTGCATATCTATACGATGGCATGCATGGCGACTCCAAACTGAAGCAACGTTGGTTTTCTGAAATGTACAGTTCTTTTATGCTCGATTACACTGCACTCTAGTAATCGGATCGATATTGTTCTTCGTCACTGTTAGTATTACATTAAGTTTATTGTACATGTAGAGACTTTTTAAGTACAAATGAAATCGGATACCGGTACTGAAACAGAACAAGTTGTTGCAGTAAGCCTCAAATTACCGCTATTCGGGCAACATGATTCCAACAAAATGGTTTTCTCAGGTTGGAAGCTCAATTCGAGACTCGGCAAATAACCAGTTCACTCACGAAATTTTCGTATGTTTTTCATCATTGCAACCTGAAATTCCCAAGAAGTCAGAGACTTGTTAATTTTTCTGCCTTCTGTAGATCCATATGATAAACTAAAAACAGAACTCATAAAACGAACTTCTGAGTCTGAACAGAAGCGTCTTCACCATTTATTAATTTCGGAAGACCTAGGAGACAGAAAACCCTCTCAACTTTTCCGTAAAATGAAACAGCTTCTTGGTGAAAACAAATTAGAAAAGAAAATTTTGAGACAGTTATTTTTACAGCGTTTGCCACAGAACGTTCCGTTAATTTTAGCCTCCTGTAATAACGCTGTTAATCTAGAATAGTTGGCCCTGACTGCTGATAAAATTGTAAAAGTCGCTGTTCCACTTGCAGTATCTAACGTAAGCGCAGGTGCCACAACTGCACCGACATTCGATGATTCACGTCTAGATAAAATACACGCACAAATTTCACAACGAACGTCGTTATTGAAGTTGTTAATCACTAACGAATCCCAGAGTAGTCATAGAGTCTATGGTAGTCTTGAGCGTTCTCGAGAAAAATACAGAAAACGAGATCGAAGTAGTGCTTGTTCAAAAGTAGATCAAGATACCAACCTAAAAATCCACCTCTGTTGGTATCACTGCAATTTAGTGACATTCCCTAAAATGCGTCAAGCCGATCAAGTTTTGTTGAGTTGAAAGATAATTCTCCTCCTCAGGAAAGCCATAGAGTCGGCATCTAAAGACGACGAGTATGTGTGGCCAGCCTGAAAGCCGTCTTTTTATGTGACTGATAGAACATCTGGCACCAGATTTTTGATACGGACGCTGAACTTAGTGTTTTTAAGTGTCTCTCTTCGAAGTCGGATAAATTTGAATCACCACGTTTATTTTCCATGACATTACACGGGATCTTCGAAACCTCACAGTTTCATACTCACAGGGGAGGAGCACTCTATGCCGTTTCCCCAGCAGGATACTTATTTGTTCATGTAGTTAAAGAGCTTTGTAATACTGATAGTGAATTAATTTTGCTGTGTTAAATTTCCATACTGGACATATTTCATTTAGCCGATGATCAAGCAGATATAAGAATTCAATGGATATTGGTTTACTTCCACATTAATTTTAATCTTAATCGGGCTATCATTCACTACTTCTACAAATTTGAAAATTCAAATTAGAGTTAAAGACCTCATCTTATTCGTTTTGAATTTAATTAATAAGACAACATATTGTACCAAATATGACAGCAATGCTCAAAACATCCCCTAGCAGTAGTAAGCAAAAGTAAATATATTCGTCCAGTTTTCATACAAAGTTATGTTGACTTTAAACTGAATTGAACTTTAACAATAATGAAAACTGCGCAAAAGAACACTTAGTCACTGACACATTTCGCGACATGATCAGCCCATCGGCCTGTCAAAGGAAAGGGGACAGAGGGCAGTATGCCAAAACTCGCACAAAACCCCCATACATTCTCCCTTTTCTCCCTTAAATTGCATTAAAAAGCAATTCCCTTGCTTTGTGTGGATTATGAAAACGCCCCTCTTATGACATTTATTACATAACTATTTAGAACACAATTATGCCGATTTCCACATGCAAAATCCAATGGCGTTACACGTCTTAAAATAAAAACTTGTAATGTCTTAAAATAAAAACCTGTAACAGATTATGATTCTGTTCGTCAACTTGTACTCGTGTTTGCATACAAATACAACAAACTCTATGTGTTCCTAACTCGAGGTCTTAACAGTATGATATTTCCAAATCTTCCTCAGAAATTTGCAATGTAACTAATCCTCCTAAAACGCCCGGTATTTGTCGCCTTCCATGGCTTCAACACTTGCCATCCTCTAAATTAATATTTGGAGATACACCAGAGCAATATTTGCCGTCCTTCAAAACTTTAATACTTGGACATACACTATCATGGTAACATTTGCCGTCCTCCAAAACTATACTTGGAGATACACTAAAGTAACAGTTGCGGTCCTCCAAACATTTAATACTTAGAGATACATAATAGTAACATATGCCGTCCTCTAACTCTTTTATACTTGGACATGCACTATGGTATGGTAACATTTGCCGTTCTCTAAAACTTTAAAACTTGGAGATACACTACAATAAAATTGGCCGTTCTCCAAAACTTTTAAAACTTGTAATACATGTATCAGGCTGACGAATAAACAAAAATATACAAGCTTGAAAACTCACTGTTGAGGATTTTCCATTTTCTAAGAAACACTGAAGCATGAACACTATTGTAATCATGATACACAGACAGAAATACATGTACAAGGCACAGTCCCACTCTTCGTCGTGTAGGCCCAGTAGTAGTCAATGACAATGCATTGTCTCTTCTGGCACGAGATAATCGCGGGGTAAAATCCACCGCGCGTTGCGTTCATCGCCCTTTTCCCAACTCGCTGATTTAGAATGTAAAGGCTTAGGTTTTGCTTTTCAAATTTACAAGGCACATCGGACATAATTTAAAAATACTACTCAATCACCAAACATCACAAAAATCTAAACAAAAGCGGAATATTTCTAAATACACAAACCTTGAGTATAATATCGAAAACCACAGCATGGAAATCCTGAAATTTAAGCATTCACTTGTATTCATCACTTAAGCCTAACATTCCTTTTTGCTGTCTTTTAATACTGCATGGATAAGATGTGTACACGCGTAGCGCTGATTATTTACTAAAATGCAAGGATTACTTTATTCAGTACATGTATTACAAAAAAATTCGACTCAAACGTCTCCATAATTATACTCTATAATGTATGTGACCTTGACTTTGAACATGCTAATCATCATCAGAAATGACTACCAGCTGTTACAATAGCAAACACTTAAGAATAACTGTTGCACTACATATCACGTCTAAGAAGTCTCAATCCCATTAATTTCAAATTTTATACACTAATTTACAAATTTGGATAGGATGAAGGCAGCCATTAAAATACAGCAGACATGACTCAAATATCACGCAGTTACCACTAAGACTTCTTTTCAAATTTGACTTGTTTTGAGTAAAGATTTTGTGGTAAATTGCGTAAATTGAGAATAAGTTCTATTTAACTGGTATACTTAAACCCAAAATAACTTGTGCTACTTACCGCTGAAAATGAGAACCTTTGAATTCACAAAATGCATGTATTTGATATACATAAGGCCACTGACAAGATATCAAACCAGGGGATGATTTGTCGGTTTAACCTTTATCTGGTGAAACTTTAAAGCAGAATTATTGGTCGTGAGCCCGAAAAAAATCACAGCTTCAGGCCTCACACGTCAGGTTAATTTACGCTTTTTCAAATGAAGCAATTAGCATTTTAAACACAGGTTTCCCAAACCTACGCTCACAAAACGAAAAAAAAGAATTAACACAGGTGATATTAGGGAAAATGGACGCATACCAGATCAGCCCAGTCGTCCTTTGCTAAATATACATCTCGACCATTTCTGTGTACTGGTTTAGCATTTCGATTTTGGTATAAAAAAGTGGTAACAGATTATGACTCACGTGTGAATTCTTGTGTACAATACATGATTAATTTAGAAATTTTTCTTTAAAACCGTGTTTTTTTAATTATGTACAAGATGCTGTATCTACTAACGGATGAATTATTGTCACACCTTCTCCAACATTTGCCAGGTACAATGAATGTAGTCTTTACAGTGCTTATAACATAGATAGCTAAAACCTTTATAAATTGAAAACTGAGAAGTTACGTATTGTCGTCTCTAGTTAAAAATGTACACTACAGAACACATAAAATCACACAGACACGACATCGAAACATAACATTTGAAACACTCATCATGCTAGAGTATAAACATACTATGGACCACTGTGCCAACCAATCCCCCTCTCGAAAAATCACAAATGACTTTTATACAAAGTGCAAAAACTTTATAACCCAAACCTTTATGAAACATGTAATTAAATATTTTGTAGATCTACAAAATAAATTGTTAAGACATCCTTACGAAAATTAATGGCCTTGCCTGTACAAAATAAAGGAGATCAGTTTGTTAGTGCATTCACCAGTCTTAGTCTACCACTGCGTGGAATATTGCCATCCATAAATCGGCTGTAGAGGGAATGATCCACATCGACCCACAATAGATGTTGATTGAAAACCTTGCTATACTAATGGCAAATACTGATTATTCTACAAATTCGTCCAAAGGGGTCGTCAATTAACCTTTTTATTTTATCAGTATTTCCAGCCAAAAGTAAAAAACAGTGGGTCCACACACCACAAATGAACAAATGAACAAGTTATATAATTTCAGTTTCAACATGATGCTTGTAGCTAGTGTTTTTCAGGTGTACACCAGTTTGCTATATTCATTGATATAAATGCACAAAAGTCACATAGGAATGAACTCAGTTGCAGAGCGACTGTAATTGCTATTCACTGCAGATTTAACAGCAACAAAAACAATAAATGGACAAAAATCACGGACTATTAAAAAAACTAATACGACGAAGACAAGACTGCAACATCGTTACAATATACCGTTATATAATGACCTAACAGAATAATTTCTCAGAACACACCCACCACTATCAACTGGTGTTAAAATTATTACATGATCCTGGTTTGCTATATATACGACATAAAGAACTCGTAAAATAGTTGGAACGATCACACCACACACTCGCGGCAGGTTCCTATAGACTAATCCAATTTGACGTCATAACTGCTGTGACATGCGCCTGCACTTGTTAAATCACGACAACTTATTAGTTAAAGAGGCATGTAACGCGCGCACACCATTTGTCCATGCACGTCGGCCACCACAGTGATGGCTTCTAATTCTTCTTGTAGAATTACACCACTGAGTATTCAGATTAGCTGGCGTTTCATTTAAACCTCATTTATTCTGATTATTTCCTGGATAAGGTACAGCAAGTCTTTGCAGAGTTTCAGGGCGAAGTCTGCGTTAAAATCTTTGTACAACTGTCCACTTGTCTGTGATCTCCAACTTTCTGGATAGCGCGGCCTACGGAATTGATATTTAAACCCGTTCGTTCGGCAAAGTTAAAGTGTTCCACGGCTTGCCGGAACCACAATCTGGCATTGCGTGGGTCTGGTGTCTCTCTGGAGAAGGAGCTGAGGGTGGCACGTGTCTACGATTTGACCTAGGCGTACCACCCGTCCTCCGTCCGTGACTCCTGCTGTACTACTGTTGATACCTCCTCCCTAACTCTATGGACTTCAGAATCCCAACGAAAATACACGTGTACTGATGGCTGTACTTGTTAGTCAAATCAAGACGGTGTAACTCCTGTTGGAGAAATGTAAACGCCTCAGTAAGACGTTCCTTCCTCCTGGATTTTATCAGGATGCCGCTTGCGGTAAAGTCAACGTATTACCCTCTTGTTCTTTCAGTTGTAGTTTCATGGCTTTCCTTACCGCCCTGTCAATGCGGTCTTTGTTGTTGCTTTGGGTCTTTGGGGTGTTTGGGAAGATTATTGTTTGATGTTACTACGTCTTCCTCCTTGCCAAGGCTTCAGAAATCTGTGCAGTGTTGTCACGGATACAGTGATATTCTCTGGTTGGCCAATGTCAATTACATACTGCTTTGATCGAGAGGAGGGTACCTCGTCTTGAGGAATTTCATCAACGATGGTGGCATAAATCATTTCGGTTGCCTCGTCCTGTGTTACAAACTCTGAGGGCTCTGCAGCGGTTGCAACCATTGCACCTCTGCCGTCGATATTTCTCTCGTAGCCCACGATTTCTTGTTTATGGAAAACGTTCAGTGGGTCTTGCTCAAGGACGTGAAGTATATCACTGCGGGGCACGATCTTCCCTGGCTGATACAACTCTGCATGAAAATCGGAAATGTCGCCTCCGTATTCTGGAATTCTACATTCGGAACTCAGCACTCCATTCATCTCATCAGGACTTGAGCAGTCTAAAGCAGTTTGCAAGTATGACACATGAGAAATGTCTAACAAACCGTTCAAGATGTCATTGCAACACTTGGCAATTTGGCTGAAGATCGCACTTGTGTGCCTCGTCATTGGCCATGATCTGTGCTCCAGGTGCATACAACGAGTACCTGAGTGGAAGAAAGCTTTACGTGGGTAAAGCAACTGAGGTCCCTGCATTCCACTAGTATCATACAAAGCAAGCTTCAGTTCAGTCTTGCAGACGAAGTTCGCGACGTTTTGAAGTGCTGCTATACGATTTTTGGCATCTGCGTTCGGTTCCTTTCCATGCATTTGGTGCTGAATCAAACGGAGTATGGCCTGCATCACCTCTTGTGAAGTCACCATCTGCTTGATGTATGCTAGATACTGACAATGTTCGCCCTCGCTACAGTCTACGTTTGTGTCACAGGGTATTTCGCGCATCTCATCTGACAGGTATTTCGGTCTTAGTTTCTGAGGAAGACGACGAATGAGACCCATTTCATCCTCGCACTGAAGTCCTACCTGCTTCAACGGAAGTAGTATTTCTTTCACAATTGATTCTGGCTTTAACTGGTCTAGTAGGTCAGGTTCTACGTAGTACAGGAGAGTTGATTCCTTTAGAATGTACTTTGAACTCGGCAGGAACAGCGCTGAGCATGTGATCTCGCATTCTCCTTGTTGCGTACTCAACAACCTGAATATCTCTGCAACGACTATTTTGGCAGTTCTTAATTCATTTGGCGGTAGGGGCTGGTTTGCGCACTCTGCATTCATAGTTGATAACACATTGGCAAGCTGGTCGAACGTATAAAAGTTGCTAGCCCCGAGAAGTTTAAAAACAGCATCAAACTCTCCCCATTCTCTGGGAACTTTAAATAAGTATGGTCTAAGGATGCATTCATGATCTGCGGGCATGTCAAGTACGAGCCGGTCTGCCCGGACGAAGATACACCCATCGTCTACTACGCATATGGGCGTGCGCTGCAGAGAAGATTTGATGATTTCTTTGCTCTTATCAAGATTGTCACAGAGGTATCGTAATACTTCTTTCATGACCTTTTTCACCGCCATCCGAACCTCTGTAGAGACTGTGTCTGTTTTGTGTATGGCGTTTTTCTCCTCCATGCGCGAAGCAAGACGTTTAGTATGCCTGAGAACCTTGTCCATGATCGCGAGCTTTTCTTGCGTGCCAAGGGCACTCCAAACCTCTCTATTCCTCTCTGATTCATTAATCTTCGGCATTGCCCAGGAAGGTAGCACATTGGACACAGACCATACCAGAGCTAAGTTATCGTATGGCACTGACCAACGATAGGCAATGAAAGGACGAGGGCTAGAAATGTTTGTCGCCCAGAAGGCCGGACAGATATCCAAGAGTTCTCTGGATATGTTCTTTGGAATGTCTTCAGCGCTAACCGAAGGGATGAATTTAATCTTGGAGATCTTCTCAAGAAACATCCTATCGTGTAGCTTCTCATTCGAATCTAGTTCTTTCTTCAGAGTCTTTGCTTTCTCACACAGACATTTCTGCTCCTCGTCATCTGAAGCATATTTTGCACTTATTTCTATTTCCTGAGCAAAACGAATGAAATCTTGCTTGCTTACATTAGACTGTAGGCCGAGTTTTTTGAAGAAACCTCGCAGAGACGCACTCCTCATCGGCTCCGGCAGCAGCCTGTCTGGGGAAATCATGGCTTTAAAAACTCGATTTCCTGGATCAAAAAAAAACCTTGCTGGTCGTGGAATGTTCGACTTGTCATGGATGAATGGAATCTCGGCAAGTGAACAATAAACTTTTTCTTTTTTTGCTTCTGAAACCGTTTGGAGAATGTTATAGTTAATATTTTTCACATGATTCAATACGGCCTTCTGTGTTAGGAGGTGAAAACTTGGAAAAATGTACCGAAAGTAGACGTCAGCATGGCTGATGGGTGATATTCCAAGTTTGTTGTAAATCAAGTCCAAGGAAGAGCTTTGCTCAAGAAAGACACATTTCATGGGATTTTTCCATACATCTATTTCGTCGGGAAGAATTTCATATCCCTCCACTGTGTGATAATGTTGAAAACGTTGGATTTCTTCAACCCTGTCGTCACCCAGGAGTTTGAAAAGCGGAACTTGTCTTATTGTTGTAGCCATTTCTTCTGTTAGCGGCTTGCTGGCATAACCCTCTTGGAAATAATAAAGCAGGGTGTTGCACTCAGCTAGTGACAGACTGCTAGGTGAAGCACCTGTTTCCAGCATAAACTGGATCACTTTGAGTACTTCATCATGGTTCTGTGGAAGTGCAAGCGATTGTTGCAACAGTTGTGCTATTGATGCTTCTGGTGTCTGCATCAGTTCCTTTTCAACCGTTTTCCTCATTTTATCTTCAAACATTTGATTCAATCCAACTTCAGGAAGATTCAGATGGCGCAGTGCACTAACCTCCTTCGTTCCAAATCGCCCAACTTTCCACGAGGGTAAGAACAACACTGTTTTTGATTTACAAGGCGGCACCAATTTTCCTTCATTCGTTGGAATGATTGGCCAAGTCTTGATACCTTCCAATGTGAACTTTGTCTGCTTTACAGATACTCTGCTGATGAACTTCCACAACTGTTTCATCCATGACCTGGACGGGTGACCGTTCTGTTCAGGTGTCCACTCTTTATGGAGTCCACTGCCTTTCCAGTCATCGGGCAGCTGCTCTTCTAAGTATCTGTCAAGGTCCACAATGCTAAAATTCATGAATACTCCACTGTTGTATGCTTCCTCTGCAATGTCGTTCTTCGTGAACCAATCCTTGCACAATTCAACCACAGCTCTGTGCAAAAATTTTCCATTCCAGGAGGGTAGCACCTCGCATGTAACATACAATCCGTCACTTGATGAAAAGTAACTCAGTGTACTGTCATCTGTGAGCTTGAGTGGTAGGCCAATAAGGTCTGAAGGTCTTTTTACAGCATCAAGGCAGTATTCGAAAACCACTTTGAAAGAGTCCTCATTTCCGAAGTCGGTTGTCTTTAGAGGAGCTGGTAACTTTGGTGTAATGGCCGACTGAGATGACATATGCTTCACAACGGCTTTAGGAGATACAAATTCCGATTTAACATCAGACGCTTGGAAGGCTTTGCACAGCTCTGGAGAAGACGCTAAGAGATGGAAGCCAACCTTAAACAAAAACTGACGGAGCACTTTGGCGGGGTCTGATGAAATAGACCCTTCTAGCTTACTCTGGGCGTCCGAATCGTTTTCGGAATGCAAGTTATCAAAAAATGCTGCACTCATACAGCTGTTTGGATGGTGCCAGCTTACCTTGCCAGAAGTAGGATTTAGGACGGGCAGAACTTTCAACTCGTTCTTCCCTATATAGCGAAGAGTTGCCTCGGCCAAAAGATGCCACTCATCGTGTACTGCCTCTAAGTCCCTAGGGAAAAGGCCATCGTACAGTATCAAAATATCTTCACTTGATTCTGTGACAGTCTCCTAAAAGTTTCTGGCCTGCGTGTTGGAGTAATTTGGCATAGGCTGGGGCAATTACGTTTTGCACTAGTTGTTGGTTCCACCTGTGGATACCACTGTCTTCAACACCCCCGCCGGTTTTAGTACCAGTATCCCCCTTCAGGAGATGTCTCCTGATGGGATCCAACTCAAATGCCCCATTGACATGCACAGGTAAATTGGTACTTATTGGCAAAGGTAGGAGACAGTATGCTTTCATGGATTTGTGTCGATCATGCTTTGGATTTACACGTTTGTTGTCTTTAATAAGCGCTGCTACCCCACCTCTCGGAAGGGGCTTCTTCAAACCTGTAGTATCAGAAAAATCCTGGCCATTTATGGCAGGATCTTGAAACCCCAGCCTTTGGGAAATCAACCACGATCTTTTAGTATCTTCCGAATCACACGTCTGAAGACTGTACACATATGAAACAGGTGCAATTTCCAAGCCTGGGGTGTTGTACAATTCGATGTATTTTGTAATCGCTAATCGTCGATTCTGGTCGTCATCTGAAAAAGTAGCATTGATACTGAACCGTTTGTTCAGTTTGTTCGCCTGCTCATCAACACACGAAATAGTTATCTTTTTAACATTGTTCAGAAAGAGGAGACCATCCTGAGCTATCACCTGGAATTGTTCTAGCAAACTCTGTACATCCGCAAGGCCGTAGACCCTTTTCGAAATTTTAGATGGCTCGGTTCGGAGTGGAAATCGGAACATTGTTCCCTTCATTCCAGAGAATTCCTCTGTGTCCACAAGATATCCCCTCAGCATATCTGAGCAGACCTTTCTAAAGTGCTCGCCAGTTGAAAACCGTTTGCCGGCCTTTTTTTCTCGTGTTCCCTGAACGTACTTGAGAAGCGGGTCAAAAACACAGAGCGTGTCGCAGTTGCTAAAAAAACTTGGACAATCGGTCAAATGGTAGATTGCACTGAAACCAATACCGAACCTTCCTGCTGCTGTAATGTCGTCTCGTTTTGCCCCTATTCCCACTTTCTGAATGCCACTAATATCTGCTTCACTAAAAGGTTTGTCATTGTACACGCACAATGATGGCATCCGTTGTATTGGAGCCCAAGTTTCTGATATGATTTTCCCTGTTTCATGGCTGCGGGGATCGTAGACAAAGTGTACTTCTGTGGCCTTAGCATCATCGGCATTTTGGAGCAGCTCTTTAAACACGTCTGAAATATTTGGGTACGATACCAATATACTCCGAAGGCGATCCACTAGTTCTTCGTGTTGTCCAAACTCCATTTCAAATCCTGCACTTGAAGAGCAGGCCTCTAGTTGCCGCTCTTTTTGTGTCATAATACCAAAAACTTCGGCTTCTTTGGTAGTTACACAAGAATGGGTATATACGTGTACATCCTCATGGCTCTCTTCTAAGTCTGGAACACCAAGCGTTAATTCGCAAGGTGTGCGCAAAATGCTGGAATTGTCCGGAACAAACACTTGATTGTCTTGTAAGATGCTCTGCGTTTTGTGTCGATCGCTAATCCACTGTTTAACAATATGAGCCATCATTGCTTTCGCAGTGTCTAGGTCGCTTTCCTTGAGTGGCTTGCCTCGATACTTCTCTTTCAAGAGATACAAAGTATTGAGGTAATCGACCACCTCAAATTCGCTCTTCACCCCACAACGCTTCAGCAGCTTTCTTACGCGGGAATGTCTAGGGGGGGAAGCGAATAAATATGGTCCATTTGGTCCACTGTAATCAAAGGCAAGTGTGCTACACTCTCTGAACACTCCGTCATCACAAAGGACAAAATTCATTGAACGCAGTATCTCGAGAACGTTACGATCTTCTTCATCTGTCCTTCCGTCGTCATCGCATTTGCAGACACTATCTTGGAGAAAAGTGTATATGTTGGCAACAATGGAAGATGTTTCCTGTATGCATACGGGCGCTTCCTTGATTATAATAGCAAGTTGTTGCATGACATCAGTTACCAGGATGCCTTTTTCATGAATGCCAAGGAGACCCCTAATTTGAGGGCTAGTTGCTACAGTCCCAAGTCTCTTGTCGTCTAAGAGCGGTTTGACAGACCCTAAAAGATCTCGATGTCCCTCTCCAAACAGTGCAGCCGCAGACATCATCTCCTCGTCGCATCGGAACCAACTTGCTGGGTAGTTCTTGGGCTTTTCAAGGACGGGTAAGAAAGGTGCATTGCGGATCCTCTCTTGCTGCTCTGGTGTGGGTTGATCAAAGTTTCTGAGCTTCTTGTCCATCAGATTAAGAAGTGTCATTCCTTGTTGCTCGAACTGGTGTTTTATTCGCATTGACTCAGCTCTTTTGCAAATTTCTTCCCACGGTAAGTCACTTGATGCCATACCAAGCTCTGTAAGTGACACTAAGCGAGCTTGTTCGCGATATTGACTACCGTATGGAAATCGACCATCTTGCTCGCTGTACAGTGATGCAATCGGCGCACATGGGTCGACCAAATAATCAGGAGTAACAAGTTTCGCACCATGCGGAGAGACAGGAATGCATTTTGTGGTTTTCAGGTGGTCATCATATTCTGTAATCTTTCTTTCACCAAGACGGAGATCTAACACATGTAGGATTATTTCATTGTGGTGCTCATGCTCAATGTGTCGACGATCTACAAGAGCTGGAAAGAAAACCTGTTGTAGGAATCGCTCAACACTGAAGGTGTTTACGTCCAAGAAACTGTTTGCGCCAGCCTCCGATATGCTGGTAGTGACCTCTGGTTCAAGCACCACATGTGTCTTTGGTCTCTGGTTCTCTGCCAGCACAACCTTTATGCTACATCTAAGGCCTTGGGGATCAGTAGCAACCCACTCCGTGAAGAAGCAGTCATGTACGGTTAGCCATTGGCCTTGGTTGACAATAACTGCTGGAGCACTGTTTTCCCTACCAATTCTTCTATAGAAGGCATCCACCAAGGGATGGAAGTCACTATCGCATCTCTTCCTCTTTGGCCAAAGAGTCTGAAAATTGGAAGCATCGACGACGTTCTGTTCTTGCAACAACCGAAGATCCTGAAGCAGATTCAGCAATGCATTGCACAAAACTGTTTCCATAAAGCAGCAATTCCAGCGAACCTCGAAAGCTTCCGTTCCAGACGAGGACTTACCCCACAATTGCCTGCGATTTGGCTGCAGTAAGAAATTGCCATTGATATGGAAGGGTAAGCCTGTCAAGACACTAAGTGGCAGATAACTGAATGCACTTCCCTCTACAGCTTTTGGCATTAAGCAGTCTCCATCTCCAAAATCAAGTTGGGCAGCAATTCCACCGCAAGGCAGAACTGCATCTTCTTCACCTTCGGGTGTTTGGGCTAAATCCAAAATGTCCCCTTTGGCCATGCAGGAACTAGTGATGAAGTACAAGTCTTTGTTAACCTCTGCAGATTCAGTCGGTTCTTCTGATTCATGTATCGTGTGGGCGATTTTCAAGACCATGGTTGTTTCTGGAAGTGGCAAATCCGGGTCTTTAATGCATTCAGTGGTAGCAAAGAGCAGGCCGCGTTCCGTCTTCAACTCAGCTGTGTCATAGTTGAATGATATGGATCGTGGCAATTGCCGCAATCGAGAAACTGTGACAGACATGATATCTTCCATTCCGCTTTGATTTTCAGACAGTTCATGAAGACTAACTTTGACAACGTTCTGCGTGAACAGTAGTAGAGTAGATGAAAACTTTTTGACGGATTCTATCAATGGAAGAACTCTGTCCTTTGTGTCACAGATGAAGTCTGAAAGTTGATTTGGTTGTTGGCTGCTGGCTCCAAATTCTGTGCGTAGTGGCAATCGGAAAAGTGTATGATCAAAGCCTTTGGTTGATGCCGTGAGATCGCAGCCAAATATGCCGTTGTAGGGCTGGAACTGGTTAGGGTAACTCCTCAGTGTCCTTCGATGGCGGTCATTTGTCAGATCTATCCTAATGCCCGGCTGTCCTGGCTTCACACGTAATCCAAGATGGATTGTTCTCGGATCACAGATCAAGACATAGGGGCCACTGACGACACTGGGAATGTCTGTCAGATGATAGACTGACGTGAATCCCAAACCAAATCTTCCAATTTTGTCCGTTTGATGCTTCTTGCTTTGCGCAGCTACACTGCAAATGTTCCTTATGTCATGTCGTGAGAAACGGGCATCATTGTAAGCCCAGAGAGCCGGCCCGTGACATGTCTTCATTCCCTCACTCAACAGAGCGGAAGCAGTTTTCTCATTGCTGCGCCAGTCAAAGAGAAATCTGACCTCTGTAGCGCCTGCATCATCAGCATTCTGAATCAACTCTTTAAATACGTCGTTATTTTTATACATGTCCAGATTCTGCTTGATAGCATTGACTGGCGTTATATGGGGGCCATCTGTCTCATATTCCACTTCATCCGTAGGAGCAAGAAAGTGGCTTAAAGGAAGAAGTCCCAAGCGCTGAGCCACATCGTTTGATATCGACTCGTGGATCACCTCCTTATTGAGCTCTTCTTTGGTGTCCTTATCATACAGCTGCTGTACTAGTCGCTGTTGATCTACATACAAGCATTCACAAGGCGGTACCATTTTTAAAAGTCTCTGGCCCCTGTCTGTCCTACACGGCACTAAGATGTCGGGCGTCACAGTACTAACGTTGGCATGGTCAACGATATACTTTAATATGTTGCAAACCAGATTCAAGTCTGTCTGGTACTCTTCTTCGCTGGGAACATGTTCAGGTTGATGTTTTGCCTGCACACTGAGAAGAACTGAGCATAGTTCAGTAACTGAGAAAGTTTGCTGGACACCCCCTTTAGACAGGAAAATGCTATATTTCTGCATGTCCTCTGGTACAATGTGGAGATACGGTATCAAACTGATGCTGAGGCTGCCTGTACTTAAAGCTATTTTGTCCGGTGTCGTAAATCCTGATCCATGCCAAACCCAGGGATGGGACCGATTCAGGTGTGTTTCAAAGATTTCTGCTACTGTTGGGTCTGAAGCTTCACCGAGGAACTGGTATATCACGGAGACAGAATCAGAGACGGTGTGTGTTTCTTGGCCAGGCTGATGTGTATCAGAAATATTCTTCAAATGACAAATGACACGTTGACACTCTGCACGGTCGTTAGGATCAGGCTTCTTCCAAGCGAATGCACTCAGCAAATCTTCTTGCATGTTAGCTAGGTCTACGAGTGGCCGCACCGATCCACAAAGCAAGGAAAACTCAATCATCCCAATATCCGTCGGCGAATAAAGAGTTCTGGAGTTTCCCATCCATCCAGCGGATGCTGGATAGCCATGGGGACATGACGCTTCGCATGGCACCCAGTGTAACTCTTTGAGAAACACGTGCAGCGGTTTCTCATCTGTCCCATTGCGTCTGACATTCTCCATTAAAAGATGAGGGTGGAGATTAATGTGTTCTAGCAGGAGTCTTCCTCTTGCAACATCTGCTTGGTCTGTTTCTTGAGTTTTGTCAAGTTCAAGGGCAGCATGGAGCACATCAGCCGATGAAATCTCAGACTGATTTTTCAGACTGAAACGCTGCAATAATTTCAGAAGCCTGCCTTCTGCATATACTCCTGTAGGGAACACGTTCTTACCTCTTAACAAAAGTTTCAGTTTGTCAATGGGTTCATACAAGTCATCAGGACACAACAGCTGTGTGTCTGAAGTCCCAGGTATAAACTTTGCTTTTCTAGTTAGATCGTCAAATGTTGGTCTTTCCAAAACCCAGGTCATGATCTCGACTGATTCAGAGAGCTCGTAGTATCCTTCAGCAACAGCGGGAAGAATGTTATTAGCTAGGAGTTCACGTTCAGATATTACACGTACCAAGGAGGACAGATTTTCACTAGTATCTCTTTGAACTATGTACTTTGAGCCGTCATTCAAGGTGCTGACAGGTATTCCGAAGTAGTTCGCTGGAACTGCAGCTCTACAACTTTCAGCTGAAATGTAGTGACCATCACTTGTAAAGAAGAGTGGTACATGTCTCAAAATGTTTTTCTGACGATCTGTTGGTGTCCAGTGGGGTTGAGTCAGCAAATTTCGTAGTTCATCTTTCGCCTCCGAGGACAGTCGTAAGATACTGTCGTATATGTGTTCGGTTCCGTTTCTGTCACTCATTGTCTCCAGGATGGTCATCACACCTTTTGGGGTTGGGGATCTGATGAAGTCCTTAAGATGTGGGTGATGTGTCATATATTCCGGAAGCTCATCACGAACAACAATTGCGCCTATAGACTCCAAAAATGAACAGATATTTTCTGAAAGACGGTCTGTATCCACGGTCGACCACAGGTTGCTGGATATCAATCCACTTTCTCTTAGTCTAGTTATACTGTTGGTTGGTGCGGGCACCAGCGGAATACATTTGAACGTGCTGAGCTGCAATTGCATATGGTTTCTGGACAACCATTGCCACAGCATTTTCAACCACTCGGAAGACGGATGTTTGTCAACACCGGGGGTCCACGGCATTGTATTACTTGCTGAAAAGTTACGCCAGGCTATAGGAAACATTTCCAGCAACAACGGGGCGACATCTGTGATGCAGAATGCCCTCAGCTGAGTGAATGTCTTCACCTTGGAATCCCTGAGCACTGCTGGCATGTCACTGGCAGCAAATTTCTCTTCTCCATTTGGGATGAGCATGCTGGGATTTTCATTGCTGGCAATGTAAACTGTCGGTAAATTCTCCCCAAATGACGTAAATTCTTCGTTGCCCAAAGGGAGTAAGTGCAAGCCATTAAGGTCAGTGATGCAGTCGCTGATGACATACTCTAGCAGCTCAAGTTTCTCTTCACGTGTAAGAAACCGAAGGTCGTCTCCACGTATGCAGTTTCTGACAAGTTCTGGTGTTACCATCTGGTAATCAAAATCTGCCCAGTCGAGCAAATCTAGGATGTGATTTGGCAGCAGTGCAACAGGGAGCTTTTTCTGAATCAACACCTTTGAAATTAATTTATCGTTTTTGGTGTTGATAAAGATATCAGCTGGTTTCATCCACCGGCCTTGATCTGTGTAGAAAATGTCCTTGTCTTTCAGGAGTAGTAAGAACCTTTTGACAGTGCCCGACCACAATTCACTTTCAGTTATCTTCTCTTTGCAAGGCCATCCTTTATACACATCTACCGGAAGCATGGCGTATGCTGGGTCTTTACTTTTTTCAATGGCAGCCAAAAGTAGCTCAGCGTAAACCTCGGGAAGTACTTCTGTGACTAGAAGGTGATTCCAGCGGGCTTCCTTATCATATTGAGATTCCTTGTCCGGCCACTTGATCCTTCGGCGGTCATCACTGAGACCAAAATAGCCATGGATGTGAACGGGTAAGACAACTGCCTCGCTTTCTGGCAAAGGCAGGAAGCAAAACCAGCGACCGTTTTGCTCTACAATAGAGTTGGTTTGAAAAGCCATCCCCATCCAAGGCAGGAATTTCACCTCTTTATCGTGAATAAGGGCATCAAGGTCAGCTGATACGTCCCTGCTCTTTAAGGAGTTTACGATGATGAATTTGCTGACAATGTCATTACCTGACGGTCCGGGATGGCTCTCTATCTGTAAATTACCATCAGTACAAAAGTCTTGTCGCTCTGGAATTTTGCTGAAGAATGTTTCCCTATTGTGGCGCACTTGATGACGGTCGTCTTGACGTATCTGCACTCTAAAGATAAGTCTTGGATGTTCCTGATTTGGTCCCCTTTCATACACAGCAATGGACTCAACATTCTTAAGGAACAGCAAAGAGAGATCGGCATCTGTCTGGAATGTTTCAAACAATTTCATGACTTCTTGGTGATCTTGGAACACTGATGAACTCAATTTTGATTCCGTTTTACGCAGAGGGAAACGGAAAATGGTACCTGCGAACTTGCCATTCTGAAAAGTGGCTTTATTGCAAGAAAACAGGTCAAGCAGGAAAGGGGAAAACTGGTCAGGATACCTGTTCAGAAGAGCCTCTGATAGCTTCCAGCTCTTACCACGTTTTCCTCCATACGTTGTGTCGGCTGCAGGATCATCGAAGTGCTCTTCTAGTGGATCCAAATAACCAATCCGGCCTTGGCTTAAGATCCATGGCATATCTGAAAAGAAAAGGCAAACCACTTATTGATTTCTGCTTGTATCTCAATGTACTGAAAATGACGTCAGTTTATTTCATTTTCGCCACATTTGTGTATATGTAGAAGAATTTTTTTCACCTAGTAGATTATCAAATGCATGTTCATCTAGGCAAGTGGTAAAAGCACAGGGAAGAATGTAGATTTTCGCACACAAGTTTTAAACATTTTGTGTACAACACTTCGAGAGAAACATAATTCTTTTGTGCAACAAGGCAATTTTAATTCTCAAAATTATCAACATTTAGTCGGATTTGTTCCCAAAATGAAATTTGGAAACCTTTTTGTAGAATGTTGAAATCCCGGATTTTAACACGCATGCATATGGAAGATACAGTAAAGGCATTTCTAGTACTCTAAATCCAGAGAAAGACTAACCAGTAAGATGGAAAACTGAAATGAAGCCGAGACCAAACCGTCCAACTTTTGTTGGGTCTTCACGCTTGCTGCTGTATTCGGGATGCTGGATGTTCTTCCAGTCCTCCTTGGTGAATGAGGCATCGTTGTAGGCACACAAAGCTGGACCTTGGAACTCGGCCAATTTGCCCGAGCAAAGTTGATCACGGGGATGCTCTGTCCTGTCAAAGAGGAATATCACATTCCTCGCCTTTGCATCATCGGCATTCTGCACAAGCTCCTGGAATACGTAATAAAACAGAATTAAACACGAGACAACTTTTGTAAATGATAACTTACCTAAAATGTTATGATTTGTTCTCCCAGACGCTATACAGTACGGCATTTAAAACGACATAATATCGTAGTGTGGATCAAAATACGTTTGTTGTCTAGATCTCTCCAAACGCCAGATGGAGCTTGTGTGCAGTGAATTTCGGGATTGACCGCCCTCACTAGCTGACCACAGAAAGATCTTAGCTTGTACCCATGTCAAGCAAGTATACTATGCTGGGATGCCGATGGCGACAAGAAACAAGTCTAAAAAAAAATTACGTTATGTACCCTCTACAATGACCCCTATCAGGCATGAAAACCACGGTGAAGGGAGTTCAGAGACAAAGTTTCAAATATTACTACACTTTTGACGATGATTGACAGTTTTTGTCCGTTTATTCTTGTGTACTTGACAAGTGACAAAGCGAAGATACCACCAGAGCCCGAAGAAAGTAAGTTGGATTCCTGCCCCATTTGTGGCTCATGAAGACAGCTCTGACTCTAAACATCTCGAAAATTTGACACATATGACAACGGGCCTTCCAGGCCAGCTTGAAATACTAGTCGAATGGAAATATCAGTTCATAGTTCAGTTCGCAATAAAACTCTGTATATGACATGTGTAGCCCTATTCAATGTTCATCAACTTAAAACAAGGGAAAACATCAAAAAATAGTAGCGTTTGATATGAAAAGTATAAGCATGTTAAAAAAAACAAAGCTTGTGGCGAAGATGCCCGTTATCAAGAGAAAAAACGATAAATGATAAAACAGAAAAACAAACACAACGGACAAAACCGTGGACTGGACAAGAAATGAACATTGACTTCACAAGAAATCATGATTAGCAAAACGATCAACAAATAATCCCTAAAGTATTAAGAAAAACACAAATTAAGAAATAATATAAAAATCGGCAGTATTGCTGTGTAACATTAATGGGAGATACGTTTGAAATTACATTGCATTTTCATTTGAATAACATTGCTGTTTCCCAAACTGCATCAAATCTTGTAAACCCCTGCCCCCCAAAATACTGTTGACACCCTTACTGGTGTTTTACCTTCAACAGTGCACCCTGAGGGTATTTGCAAAGAATTCTCCTTAAGTAGACGCATAAGGGCGGCATCGTCATCTCAAAAATCTCATCATCTGCAACAAAGTTCGGAGAGTTGATTTAAATGAAAAGCCGCTTCATAAATTTGTCCGCGAGCATGGCAATTTTCGTTCCGGGATAATACCGGTGGTCGGATGGTAGACATATGCACTACGACAGTGAAATTTATCTCACAAGCCCTTGGACAACATTGAGGTATACAGCACGGCAGTAATAACGAGCAAAACATTGAAATATATAATGAACATCCGCGACGCAAAATTACATTTAATATAAAAAAGTGTTTATGTTGAGCATGTCTTGATATGACCAACTTGACGGACAAATTCTCGGCAATTAAAGACAGGTGGTTGTAGTACCTTGAGGTTCGTCGTCTTCTTGTCTGTTTTGACTCTCATCTTCTAGATGAGCCATCTTGCGTTGGTGTTGTGTTATCCTCTGTTCAACAGGTACCTTGCTGCATTCAACCTGATCGATTGAACCTGACCAGTGCACTGTTGTTGTAACCTGTTCCACGGGCAGAAGTAAAAGAAAAAGTGGGCGTACAACGATTTGGTATTTTAAAGTAGACTAAACGTAATCCAGGGAGAAGTCATTGCTTGGATAGCACTTCTCCCACGCACGTTCTTGAACCTTAGGCGTGCGTGAGTTTCGGGCAAGTCAGACAACTATATAGTTTTTTTCAGTCACGTGATTTTTGACGGTCAGCGTTCAATATAGGCCTACACAGATTTGCGCGGAGATGTGAGCGCCTTTGAAGTCTCTCAGCTTTCTGGCGTACATGAAATTGCTATTAAACCGAAAGACGCACATTGCAAAATGCACGCGCCGCTGCAGACACTTCTTGAACTGCCTTTAACAGTCAGGTGACGTCTCGTGAGAAACCTCTATCCGGCTTGTGTCACGTCACTTCAGTTTAAACCAAAGATTATATAGCGCCGCGTAGCGGCGAAAGATGGGTAATTCGGCCATAAAGGTGTTATCACCATAGGCGCCATTCGAGTGTGAACGTTAAATGTGTGTGCGTGCCTGTCGTGGCGCCTGCGCCTGCGCATAACATGCACTGCGCAGGCGTAGTCCAACCAGAATGGCGCCCATGTGATAACAACATTTTACGCTTTATTTACGGTGAAGTTCCCCATCTTGCGCCGCTAGGCGGCGCAATACGATCTTTGGTTTAAATCATGCCCACTGCATGTACACTGCACATAGCGTTAGGCCGTGTCAGAATCATTCGGCTACAGCCAGAAATAACGCACGATTCTATAGGAACTGACTGCAGCCACTACTATAGACTCGTGTGTAATTTCAAGCCAGCGCCTGCCGGTATGACGAAGCCACTTACGAACCGGATTGATATCAATGGCACACAGGCCTCCATCAAGAGGTTTTCTTTTCTTTTTTTTCGATGAAGTTCCCAAAATACATGTCAGTCCTCTGTGGCGCAAGGGGAGGGGAGGACCATGAGCTATTTGGGGGCCGTAAATATCCATCCAAGCCCCCATCCAAACTTGGGTGCTGCACTGACCACGCATTTATTTTTATTTAACCAGGGTAGCCCTTCCAGTTTAACTTACATTCATTTCCAAAGAAGATCAACTTACAAAAATAAATTAGAACACAATTACAAAAGTACAGAATACACGAATTGAGATTACAATAATGAATCAAAACATAATACAAGAATACAGAATACATATTTTTTTAATGAACCAAACATAGCACCACAGGTATCACAATTATTTATTTACAATATTAAAGCAATAATTCCCCAGTTTATGGACACCCCCAGAAGCCAGGAGCCATCAATCATGCCTCCTGAACGGAGTGTTACCCTCGTAAAAACAAAACTTTATGGGAAAGCAATATAAGGCATAGAGTGCATATGCGACATAGCATATTCCAGTATGAATTTCAAAGCAGATATAAAAATGCAATGGCCACCTTTATGTACAAAACAGTCTCTTCGAAATACATGAACGAGTATTTTCAGCATTCGGTACGTAGGCCTACACATAAAAACGCACATGACTATCACTTTTTGTGTACCTCTCTACTCTTCTTCCATGTATTGTATGGTTTATTGCCATAATACTTACATAGCAATAAATTGCCAAAGAAAATAATATCTGCCATAGCAGTGGTTAAAAAAATCTAGAATTTTTCTGTGCACAAATCAGTGCAACATTGAGATTCAGTGCCTTAGATGGCATCATTGTTCTACTCATGAATATGCAAAATTGCAAAACAAAACGTCAAAATAAGGTTAATTGAAACCCAAAGATGCAATTTCAAGGGTTTTTAGCAAAATTTTTAAAAATATTTCAATTTCCTAATTCCTTTAACATGTGTACCGAAAACAAGCGGATCACTTTCCTGGTAACATGAGGGTAGAGGGATCTAGCTACATTTCGATGTTGTATGAAAATCTGAATATTTTCAACAGGTCCCGTATTTTAGATGGAAAGGACTGTCGAACACACATAAAAATTGAAGGGAAGAAATGGCAATTGCATTTTGCTGCTGTAGTTGTGGACTTGAGCAAGTCTAGTCCCTTTTGTATATTATAGGCTTGATGACATAACTTCCACCAGCCAACGTTGGTGGCCAACAGTCCTGTGTGGCTGGCAGTCTGTGGTGGCCACCTGTTGTTGGAGGCCAACATGGGCCAAGACCAATAAAATCAAATTCAAAAAGCACCTTTTGTCACCCAAACGTAACAAAAAAGGTTTCGGCTCGAGAAAAATAAACTGCTTCATGGATCACCGAGATGGGCTATAAAGTTGTACGACACAAAAAAATAAATCAGTCAAAATTCGGCTTATGATGATACCTCTCCAAAATGCCTGCTTAATGCATGCAAGCCATTACTGACTAACAGAATCCCCATAATTTTAAATCACCGTTAACTCCAGTCTATTACGAAATGTTTGAACTCAGCCCTGTAGCGCAATATACACGCACATCATGCGCACCCGTATTTTATTTGCACAAGGGCGTACTTCGACTGAGAAAGGGAAGATACCTAAAAAAGTGGATGCTGAATGAACTAGCTCTCGGCCAATCAACGTACGGAATCTGTTGTTGTAAAGCAAATATGAACCGCTTTATCTCGTGCTGTGGTAAAAACTAGCCTCGTTTTGGGGGCTGATTTACCATACCCCTCGGGGAAAAAAATCCATGATACTTTTACGTAATCTTTCAAACCCGTTTCTTTTCTCTCTGAGATCTGTTTCAAACAGGGGTATAGCCGAAAAGATACTCCTGCATTATTCCAAAAAGGTTTTCGGCCGCCCAGATTGTGCTTTTCCGTTACAAATCATTCTGAGACTTGGCAATCAATTTGAAAAAAGCAGTATTCAGCCTGAGCAGGAAAAAGAGAGGATGTGCTTTTGCAAGGAAACTTTTGCCTTTTGGTGGGAACTCGCCGCGGTGTATGGACGTTTGGCGTGGGACACGTTGAGCACGCACCGCGCTATTAATGTGGATAAAACACGTCCACATTGACAATGCATTGCGTGCTCAACGATTAACGTGACGTCTCTTGGCTGTGAAAAAAACAAGAGCGGGGCTGAATGGATCGGTCTATTCAGAATACAGAGGTGGGTCGCAGCATTTTGGGACGAGGTAGTTAGAGAAAGTTTAAGTGTATTTAATTTTCAATTTTTGAATTCCAATAGAAGTGATAAATTTGATACATGGGGGTCTTGGAACAAAGTTGAGAGCCTGCTTGAAACATTTCCCATCAGCCTGTTTCTTCTCTGACAATGAAGGCGCCCTTCAATTCAGGCGGATTATGAGTGCACTTGGGGCTAAGTTTTGTTTACACAACACAAGCCTTACTTAAATAACGACCATAATCGTGGTTTTGGATGATTTTTTTTCAAAGGGACGTAAAGTCCGCATGGGCATAAATTTCGGGGGATGGGGGTGGGCTACTGAATCATCCCCCACTTTTTTGTCGGGAGAAAAAAATCAGAACTGATTGTGAAGATTTTCCAGACTTTCAACGACTGAAATGCATTCCATATCACTCGATAAAGGGAAAATATATTTAAAAAGCAACCAAAAAATATGCCACTCTGAACTCATCAGAAGTACATCAATATCGTGAACATCGACCTCTATACAGAGTCATATGTTGCCCCCCCCCCTGCTTCATTTTCATGGCCGGGCAAGTCATCCCCTGCCTTTCCCCACCCACCCCCTAATTTCCAGCACTAAATTTATGTTACTGAAAGTACGACATCTCAACAATCGAAAAATGGCTTCATATAATTTTATGGCTGGAACTGTCTGTCAGTTCCCTATGTGAAGGGGTAAATTTGCTATACCCAGCAAGAAATGAGACGGAGGGGTCCCCCCCCAACATGCCCAATCCCTATACACATTCCAGACTATTGTGACTTAACACATCCCCCAAGATGTCAGAAAGGAATTCCCCAGATTCCTGCGAGACAATGACCAACACAAAGCAGGGGGGGTTCTCTCCGTCTCATACCTTGCTGCATATGAAATTTGCCCAAGCTTTTGGATTTAGTCAGGCGCCGTTGTTTTGAATAGGAGGTTGCCCGCCTCTGTAAGGGAGTTTCATTGTACATGATAGACCTTTACATTGATGATGACACCACACTTCATAATGTGTGCTTTCAGTTGGTGCTCAGTGGACCATGGGACCCCATGCAGTCGTTTCCTAGCAAAGTGCATTACATGTATGTAAAAAGTGCCTGTCTGGGGGCCCGCAGTAAGTTTGAGCATGATCAGTGGGAAAATTAACACCAGACTGGCAGTTCTGGGAAAATCTTCATTTCTCAAGAAAGTGTCTGGGCAGGACCTCAGCGAGAAAACCTCAAGGCTTGGCTTAAAATAAGGCAGAGCAAGGATATCAGAGAAAATGTACGGTGCGTATAGGTCTATTCCATCACGGCCCTTTGAAACAGAGAAGTTTCTCTGCTTTTTCCGATCGGTAGCAAATGTCATTCCTGGCCGGCTGAAAATATCTGTAGCAGGCTTTGACCTAATTTTAAATCAGGGATTCGATCAATTACAATTTGAATCATAACCTCATTATAGCATATGCCTAATTGTAATCGTGGTTGATCTGTTGGTGTACAGCAATTCTTGCAACAGCCGCTGTGTGTTATGAAATCCTTGAACCGAGAGTCTTTACTGCCTTCGATACTTCATGAAGGCGGCTCCGCCCTGTCACCAGGCTTCGCCTTCCACAGCATACTCTACGTTTTGCCATCGACAGTGAACAGTTTAAAATAGAATCTGTGGTGTAGGACAAATCATTGAGCAGTGGCAATCATTTGTACAAAGCTTCAGACCCTTTTGAGTTCTCTTTTTAAGTGACTTAGTTGAAACACTGACCTGGTCAACAATTTTTTTAAAGTTGTCTGCTTCATGTAAGTAACATGCACTATTTACAATTCATTGTAGATTTTGATGCGCTAAATTAAAATATGACAGTTACCGTTGCTAACTGTCTACTGCTTCCGAGATATTTTTATGACGTTTACGTGCTACCAGCTTTTTAACTTAATCTGTAAACCTGTAGTCTTAAATTTATACGTGTACAAATATAAATGTAGATACCGACACAGTACCAGATCTTAAAAACTAGAGCTAATCAACTATGTCAAACCTCTTTACCATTCTCAGTTTAGTGAATATTGACTTCATTTGTTTCGGATGCATTTTAGCTATAGCCTACCATGACCAATGCAATCATTCAATCGAGCTGTCGTGACTGGGGAGACAAGTAATGTAGTCTCTTTACATGTAAACCCATTCAAAGGAGGACTTTCGTATGGACGCTACTATTTTTCCCTCCTGTGAGAATTAGCCATCTTAGAGTAATAAAATGTCCCAAAGAGTCCAATTTAGCAGTGCAAATATCAAGGTATTCACTTAGAAAACATCTAAGAGTTTTTCAGATCAGTCTCCTGTCCGTTTATGAAATTCTTTACAGATTGATTCCCATTTTCTAATTAAAAGGAATGGTGAGAACTGCAATGACTTTAACAAAGGCAAACACATGCGATATGATTACTCGGCGTCGTTGTGTTTTCTGTTTTGTTTTTCATGTAAGGTCTGTGCACTGTCCCCCACTCCTCCCCAACTTACCACATTAAGTGTTACCAAACCTCTTGGTTGAAAAACTTCTAATTTATCCAATTGTATTGTGGTACTACATCCATAATGCATGCCCGTGAAACTTTGTGAATATGCAGTGAAGTAAAATGTCCGAAATTAACAAACAGTTGCGTTATGAAATCGGCACAAATGCACAAATTCAGACTGAGTGTTCTGTAACGTGACGCACCTTTTACAAATCTCAGAAAATCCCATATTAACTGTTGACAAGTTCTTTCGCAGCTAATAGGTTCTGATAAGTCATTATTATACTTCCACTCAAATACTCGTCCACAGTCTTTCTTTTTTTTCTAAAATATTGTTTTTTACGGGGCGCGTTTTAAGAGACTTCATTTTGCACTTCGGGAAAAAAAATCGGGAAATCAGATAGAATCAAATAGAATTTCATTGGAACTTTGTAGCCGGTACGTAATTAACATAGGAGTTATGAACGGGCATGTTGAGAGCTTGATGACATTTCCCTAGACTAGACTGCGCACAAGACGCGAAAAATAAGAGCACCAGGTTAGTGGCACATCAACTAATAGAATTTTGGAATCGCCTACCTTATTTAGTCTTTTCACAAGCGAACGTCCAGAGATAAGTCTTTGATGTCTCCAAACTCCTGCTTGGACATCATTATGCTTGGTGATTAATGATGGGTGAAAGAACGTATTTCATTCTACACAACTAAGGACAAGACATGCTGTTCCATCCACAAATCTATAGGCGTTCTATTGGAGTACGAGTCCAACCACATGAATCAGGTGACGAAACCGCTTTGAAGCACACCCCCGAAAGCGTGCTTTTTTATAGTAGATACCAGCCAATAGAATCAACGGAGCACGTTGGACACGATCGCTTGGCCAACAAAAAAATCTCATTGGTATTTCAACTATACCTTTGAGAAAAAGTGTATCGGCGGACAGTGTTTAAGTTTTCGTGAGCAGCAAAGAAACAAGAATCACGAATAACCATACTTTATTCAAACGTGGCCTCCACGAAAAAAACAAGCAAGAGCTGATTATTACTAACCCGTGTGATGAGGTCTGGGCGTGTGATGTTTCCAAAACGCAACACCATCATTACTAATGAACGTTTATACGTAAAAGGTTTTAAAAAGTGTCCAGAATCAAAAGATGTTAATTTACCTATAACTGACTAATCCCTGTTAACCATACAAACGAATTATTCCCCAGGAAACTGCGGGTGTATGGGTACTACTTTCCGACGCGGATTGAAATGCTAATAGCCACGGCAGTTTGGTGGCATAATTTCTGGTCGAGGGGAATACCCCGGACAAGAAATACCTTTTGTGAAAAATCATGTTTATTTTGATCTTCAATCCTAATGGCCTTCGAATTTTCCACTTTTTCTCCGTGGAGTTCCGAATATACTGTACATGTAATCGTTCCAGGTAACCTGCAGTTTTTACTCTTCTTTTTACGACCAAGAAAACTAATATTACTTCAGAGAAAGTTTATCTGGCGAGTGGTGATCTCTATTTTCTTCGAGTGAAAAATAAATTATAAATGTACAAAAAAGGAATTATTCGAAGTGTATTTTTTGGGGCAGAGCTCGATATAAATGCTTTAGAGCATACTCTCCTTCATAAATTTCATAAACATTGCGCAGATTTTGAACTCGTTCAAAGGCAATGCCTATTTTTGCGCTTCGATAGTAGTGGCTACATAAAAGCATTCCCGGTTTTGTAAAAGCATTGCTGCAGATTTTGGCCAACTAAAACCATCGCAATGTTATCGCAACAGTTTGTCATGTTTTTCGGCCGAAGAAAGTTATATTGCGTCTGAAATGTTTTCCGTCTTCTCTGCATCGAACTAGTTCTAATAGCTGCTTTAAGGTTAGGTCTACCACGTCACTTATTGTGGTATAATCTTTGGAGGTAAAGATATACGGGACGGCTTTATAATCGTCGCTTTATATATCGTCGCTCAAAGAATGAGTATGGGGTTGATCGTTTTGTAGCAAACAGAGGTTCCCTCTAAACAACAGCAAGACCACTCCATAATCGTGAAGTAAACGCTTTGGGATTTAGCTTATTTCAATTAAGTATTAAAATAAATAGACAAAACTACAGAAAACACCAAAAATACAAAAGATAACGAACATACAGGAAGGAAAAAAACTGGGAAAAAAACCAAAACTTACTAGTGGAAGGCCAGGTATAATACACGATATTTTTTCCTGGTTTCCTTTCTTTCTCCTCTGCACTTTTATTACTCTATCCAGACTCTTGTAAAAATTATCAGTGATTCCCGCTATTGTACAGCGTCGAATGGCCCCGACCAAAGGTCAACACGTCGCAGGCGTCATTGGGTAGGCGTAATTTTCGGCGAGCTGCGAAGCAAATGGGTGCCTATGTAATACCAATTTCCGTCTTTTGTCCTTCCGTCTGGCCATCCTCAAATGTTAAAGTCTTTCCTTGCAGGTCCTTAGGTGTTAATTAAAATGTGCCATTGAGTTCTTGTTTGCTTTCTCTTGCAATTCCATCAGTGTTTAAATAGTCTTGTATGGCATTATTGCTTAGAAAATTATGAATTTAATGAACAAATTATAAACGTTGAATGTTAACGTTTTGAGTTGTATTGTGTACTTACCCTGTAGTACATACAGTACATATGTACTGAGCACTCCTGTAATGTACATGTATGTACATTGTATGTATAGACAGTGTGTAGACACATACAAATGTACATGTACTGTATGTGGAAAAATTGTAAGGGACGGGGGGGGGGACTCCAAGTGACAGATGAGGATGTTGTTGAGGGAGGGATACCTGTAGGAGGAGGAGATATAAGTAAATAAATAAATATTATGAAGGTTTCATTTCCCCCTTTGGTTAATCGTGTTCAGAATTCCGCTTGCGTGTTTCCTGAGACATCAAAGCTCGCTATAGATAGTCATTTGTAGGCCTACTGGATTCAATTCCTCTCACGCATGAAACGAGTTTCCGATCATCGGCAACAAAATTCTAAAGTTATCTACAAACAATCCTCCATTACCGCGAAATAATTCTTAGAAGAATGAATTAAGTTGATACAAGTGATTAACATGATTGAATAATGTTCATGAGAAGCAGAACATACAAAATTGCGTACCTTTTTAGCATTAAAATATCTTTTACCAATCAAAATGCACTGCAAGTATGTGTATATTTATGTTTATGTAAAGGCCGTAATTCACCATTCAGAATGCTTGCTCATGCCTCTCATACTGTCTTGCAAATACAGCAGAAAATATAAAAGATACTAATACGCTTAATCATGGGCGGAAATCTCTCCTCGATCGTGGGGGGGAACATCAATTTCCACTTTTTGTGCACACCTTGTTTATTATCTTATTCCATTTATAAAATTTCAAAAGGGAAAATCCTCGATCCATCAATTCCTTTAGTATTTTGCTTTGCTTAAACCATGGAGGGGACATTCGACATTGTGTCCCCCATACCAAAGTCATGGGGGAGGGACTTGTCGGCCCTGTCCCCCCCCGGATTTCCGCCCATGCGCTTAATATGGAGGTTATAGGCGTTCTGCCAGGAAGCTGCAGGCTACCAAAAA